GGATTCCCTGGGTTCCCAGCTTTCGTTTGATATGCATTAAGCCATAGTTGAAATATTTTCTATTTGTGGAGGTCATTAGAGGTCATTAGAGGTCATTAGAGGTCATTATAGTTCAATTTTATTTTATTATAGGAATTTCGAACCCTAGTTAGGCGTGCACCCAAAAAATTGGAAGATTTGAACCAAAAATGAAGGCAGGGCCCCCCCCCCCTACATCAAATGTGCCAACTCCACCATCCCCTTTCCAACATTTTCATGATTTCGAAATAAACTGTTTTAAATGTCTTTAACATTGTATATAGCAAGTATACATGGTTGATTTGTACATTATTTTACAATATTAAGGGGGAGTAAGCTATTATTTTACAATATTAAGGGGGAGTAAGCTATTATTTTACAATATTAAGGGGGAGTAAGCTATTATTTTACAATACTAAGGGGGAGTAAGCTATTATTTTACAATATTAAGGGGGAGTAAGCTATTGAATGATGATGAAGAGTATGAAACTGTTATGGCCTTCAGTCCACAAAAGTAAGAAAAAAAACATTCAATAATTTTGATAAATTGATACTCAGAAAGTAATTGAGTTTTTGCCATAAAGTCTCTGATTTTCTATATATTTACCACCCCCATTGCGTTACCTTAGATATTTCAAACTTAATATTCTGTTAGATCAGATTATCTAAGTTTAAAATATCAAAAGTTCACACTATCAGGTTGGTAAGATAAAGTAATTAGAAAAGGAAATGAGTCTTTGCCTCAAACTCTGATTTCCCTATATCTTTGAAACCCAATTAGATATTTCAAACTATGAGTTTTGTTTGGTCAAATAATATAAGTTTGAAAATTGACATATCTATGGTTTACACAATCAGGTTGCTATAATAAAGGAATTAGAAAACTTGATTTTGTGGCAAAGACACAGTTCCTTTGAGTTAGATAGATAGATAACGTTTATTGCTAAAATACATGTATCTGTGTACAGAATGAGTTTACAATTACAAATTAATGATTTTATTAACAGTACAGGTATAAAGCAAATAGCTCATGGCTGTTTTGATTAATTTTTCCACCTAATTTTAATAATGATAACAATTCATTTCAATTAAATAGATTTAAAGAGAACTATTAGAGATCAGATTGTAGCTGGTATGCAGCAAAAACATTTATTTACTTTCTAAGAATCTAGTGAAATAAAATTATATACAGATGGATGTTATGCAGCAGTAATAATTTTGAATGCTCATATTATCCCTGAGGCTTATTTTTCGATTAGGAACTAATTTTATCAAAGGGGGGGGGGGTTAAAATGGAGAATGGACGGAGGGGGACTGTAGTTATGCTAGGGAGCTGGGGGGGGGGGGAGTTTTCTTTTTAAAGAGATTACAGACGTATTTTTAAGAAATCATTCATGTACAGAGTGTCAAAAAGTACCATGTAGAATTATCTTAATTTTACTTAGGGTCTCTACCCCAATGAAGAACCAAGAAGTAGGGATATCTACTCCAATAATGACCCAAACTATGGATTACCAAGCTGGTAAAGAAGACATCTATGATAATGTTAAACCGATAAGTCGAGTACAAGGTTAGAAAACAAATATAATATAAAAAAATAAATCTATGCTTAGTTGAACTAGGCATGCTTAGTTGAACTTTGTAGGCTTAGTTGAACTAGGTATACTTAGCTAAACTAGGTATGTCTAGTTGAACAAGATATGATTAGTTGAACTAGGTATGCTTAGTTGAACTAGGTATACTTAGTTAAACTAGGTATGTCTAGTTGAACAGATATGCTTAGTTGAACTAGCTATGCTTGGTTGAACTAAGTATGCCTAGTTGAACTTGGTGTGCTTAATTGAACTATGTACGCTAATAAAATCAATCTGTGAGGTCTTTGACCATAATTACTTATTAAAAAATAGATAAATTTAATCTTTTTTACAGATGATGGAAATAGTTTTGAGGATGAGTTTAATGAAGAAGATGATGATGAGGATGAAGGGGATTATTCTAAAGTTGATGTTCCTAGAAGTGAAAACCCTGTAAGAGATTTCAACCCATTCTGTCAAAATTCTTTATATTTCCTGTTCTTTTTCTAACACTGAGGAACATTTTTAAATTTAAAAAATCTTTTGTTAACGAATTATTTCAATTGACGCATGAAAGGTTTTGTGTTTGAATTGAAAAAAATATTTTTTTGTTTCTTGTAGATTTATTAGAAATAACAAATATCGAAAACTCCGTTTTTTCCTAATTGTAATATAGTTTTGTCTAAGTAACAATTCTTTTCGTTCGTTGTAAATTAAAAATTAACTTGGTTTGCAAGTCAAATTTTATTTTGATCATCATCATCATATTTTATTTAAACATCCGGTTCGGATTTCATTTATATTTGATCAATATAAAAGATGAATTTTTAATATTGGTCGTTTTATTTTTATTTTTCTGATCCAAAAAAACGATGAATGTTTTTAATTTTAGGTGTCCCAACTTGCAGCAAAATCTCTGGATAAAAACGCAGGTTAGGAAATATGTCTCAAATAAAATCAGCTGTTGTATTTTCATATAATGATGTTTTGTATTTTTGTTTAAATATTAAAAAAATAAACGCAACACATTAAAGAATTAGAAATAATGGGGTTAAAATTTACTTCTAATTCCTTTAGATGAAACTTATTCACAATTCTTTCACGTGAAACTTAATAAAACCCCCTTTTCATGAAACTTATTCGCAATTCCTTTATATAAAACTAATTTACAAAACCTTTACATGAAACTGATTAACAATTTCTTAACAGATATCTTTACAGTTGCCTATTTACAATACCTTTTCAGAAAACATATTCTTACATAAAACGCAATCATAATTCCTTTACATAAAACTTATATATAATTCCTTAACATAAAACTTATATATAATCCCTTAACATATAACATGTATAATCTCTTAACATAAAACTTATATATAATCCCTTAACATAAAACTAGTAAAAATCCCTTTTTAAAGATTACAGTGGATGGATATGGATCAAGGAATCCATGTTTAAGAAGAATAGACACTGGGGAATCATATATAGAGGTATAAATTCCTTTAAAGCTCTATGAAAGCACGGGGGGTCTGAATCTATGTAAAATCTGAAAGGTAAAGAATTGCAGTGTATATTAATATTCCACTCTTCCGTTATTTTTTTATTTTTTAAACCAGTATTTTTGTTTTTCGTATTTCTGATTTTTAGATAACATATTTTTATCTATTTTTAATTATTTTTATTTATTTTTATATATTTTTATTTGTTTCTAGGTCGACTTTATCTTTTCACCGACCCTGAATCTTTGCATCGACAAAGGCATTTTAGTCTCAGCAAGTTCGAGTGTAAAAGAGGAAAATCTAGGGATAAGTTCGGATTTAATAAAATAAGAAAATAAACATTAATTTCTGCAATTTTTTTATATGATTTTATGAATGGAAAGAACATCAATTTGATTAATTTGATTAATCAGTTTTAGTTGATAATAGTGTCCTTGAAAAGTAGGACTGATCAAAAATCAATTAAGTTAAAAAAGGATTTTTAAATAAAGCTTATTTTTTATTTTTTATCATTATTTATCCAAACAACTTATTTGTGAAGCACTATTTCACTGATTCGGAACACCACGGACAAACCGGAAAAATTTAAGGTTTTTAAACTATTTTCATTATTCTTTAATCTTTATTTAGCAAAGTCTTTTGATTCTTATTGTGAGCTTTTGGACTAACAAATGATATTTATTATTGTCGTGATAGTATCAAGAAATCCAGTCTTTACTACAATCTCAAATGTTCTAATCTCAATATTTTTGCAACCTGATGGTGTAAATCTTTGGTATTTTAAACTTAGATTTGAAATATCTGAGGTTTACCAAATTTTGTTGCAAAAATATTTGGAACAGAAAATAAGAGTTTGTGGCAAAGGCTCAGTTCCTTGATGCTCTCCAAACAGTATCAAAAACACCCTCCTCCCCCTTCCTAACTAATTTTGCATAGCATAAAGTATAAAACTAAACATATAAAAACATATTTATTCTAAAAGTATATTTCTTCACCATTGAATAAATGTAGAGCTTGGAAAAAAGTTATAATTGGACCAGATTTAAATTAAATGTTTTTTTGAACTAGTTTCTCATTGAAATAATTATATCTTTTGAAAGAGTTCCAAATCTATAAACACACTCGTTTTCCCTTAACATTTTTACATTTTCACGAAGTATACCAGGAATACGTTTTTCATAAAAGGTAAAACATTAGCTGAATGATTTATCATTATGTTTAGTTTGAGATGGAAAACTCTGAGATAGTTGACAACTGGGAGAAATTTATTCTAAAAGCTGCAAAATATTCATCAAGGAAAAATATTTTTACTATTGAAAAATAAATGTAGAATTAAAGAATATTGCAAAAATAATAATGTTTGAATGGTTTCTAATAATTGTTCAAAAACTTCTACTTGACTTTCAAAGACTTTTCTTCATGGAAATATGAATCGTAAAACCAAAGTCAATTTAAAAAATCCACAAAACTCTCATTAAATAAAACATTGTTAAATATTAGGAACGAAATGGACACTGAAGAAGAAGAAGAAGAAGAAGGTAAAATGATTTGCATTGTATCATTAAATTAATAAATTTTAATTTGTCCATTTTATTTTTCCATGGTTTTCCTGAGTCTTGTATTTTAGCTTATAGTCTTGAAAAAAGAATTCTAAGACAACGTGAAGCGTATATAAGGAAATTTTGAAACCGCAAATTTTTCTCTCTCTTTTATAGTTTAACGTTGATATTTTAAGTTGGCGAAGACGACATTTACGATGTAGTTGATACTGGACCTAAGTTTATGAGACGGGTAAGCATATTTCAAGTTTCAAATATATTTATTTTTATCTAAATATATGTAGTTTAGACTACTCAGCCCCTCTTGCTTAATCGTATCTGTTCAATTTTTAAATAAGTTATTTAAAAGCTAGAAACTGAAATCAACTCATGAAAGGAATTCAGTCTTTGCCACAAAGTCTGATTTTCTAACCCCTATATCTTTGCAACCCAATGTTGCAGACCTTTGATAATTCAAACTTTGAATTCTGTTAGACCAAATTATCTAAGTGTGAAATATCAAAGATGAAGGGTTTAGAAAATTTTCATTTGTGTAAAAGTCTCAATTCCTTGACTTTTTTATTTTTCTTTTAATAGACTAATTAACCCCTTGCTTCATCGTATCTCTTCAATTTAAAAAAATGGTTTAAAAGGATAGAAAGTGAAATCAACTCATCAAATTTATAAGAATAGGATTGATTTTAGATTTCCTTGATTTAATCCATCCTAAAATAAGATTAAAAAAGTGATTTAAATTTTCAAAATCGTTGGTTAAATTGTGTAAAAATGTTGACTTTAAACGCATAATTTTTTTTACCAACTTCTCAAGGTTGAAGATTATGAAGAGGAGTATGAAGAAGGAGATTACGAAGGAGATTATGTTGAAGAACTACATGTTTCTCCGAGTACTCCAAAGAAAGCGATCCAACGACCATCAGATCTCAACCTGACTTCATCCTTTAACTCCGAAGAGATATATGATACTCCCAAGGTTACAACACCAGTCTATAAAGGACCTGGAGCACAGGGTTTCATTACTCCCAGAGAACAGACTTCAAACCAGTTCTTTAATGATACTAATCCTCCTATTATTAAAGATAACCAGATAAATATGGAACCCTCACCTCCTCCTCTCACTCCGAAGAAGTACTCCAAACTACTCCCTTCTCCTCGCTCCTCTGTACCAGCTCCAACCACAGGACTCTTGCAACCACCTAGAGCAGGACATGGTTTAGAAAACTCGCCTAAACGTTTTTCCGACAATCCGAGACCAGTCATCCAACCCAGATTCAATTCCAACTCTTCCAATACTACTGAAGATAGTACAAGTCAAGCCAGAAATAGTACAACCCCGTCCGATAGTAATTTTATGACGGAACTTCAAAAGAAGCTGAATCATGGTTCGTCTTTATCCTCCTCCTCACCATACTCCCCTTGGAGAAGAAGTGAGGAATTAAGCCTGGAGAAGCAAACCTTGAGTAATCCCTCCGGAGCAAGACGAAACCTGGAGAATGAATTTGGATTAGAGAAACCTCAAGTTCAAAACAAACCTAAGGTGAATTTAAAACTATTTTTTCTTTAATGATTGCAACGTAATTAAAGGGATTGATAACCCAATTTTAAGTAACCCTTCAAATAAGAAAGTGCTACTTCCGATTCACAAGGAAAATGCGGATATTTGGAAATACAATTCAATAATATTTCAGATTTATGGGAGTTTAACAAAGAGCGCTCAACTGCCCAACTTTAACGGCGCTAGTAGCAGGTTACAAGTTTTTCATATAAAGCTTTTCATGTAAAGCTATTCATGTAAAATTTACCAAAACTTTTATTTTAAAATCTGTAATTTTAAAACCTTGTAGAAGAAAAACACATTTTTCTGGATTTTCATGGATTTTATAAAGTTAAAATAAGGTTGACATCATTTGGGAAAAAAAATTAAAGCTTGTTTTTTAAATTACCATGTCAAAAAGCACACAAAGTAATTATTTTAAAAAAACTATTTTGTTAAAATTGTTTTAAGCATTGGTTTATTTTGATATAATCTGGGACCATATTTACCGAATGTTAAGACATGGTTAAACCATCCACTTTAGATGAAGATATAATGGATATATTTATATCTACATTTTTGCAGTTCTGGAGAGTTGGCAGATAAACTAGCAAAGCAGAGACTAAAAGCTGAACCTAAATCTTCCTTTCTTCACTCATACCAGGAGCAAACCGTCCCGGAGAAATCCGTCCTAACCAGTTCCATCCATACAGAACCTATCTACAGCAAAGTTAATAAAACAAAACGAACACAAGGTAAGGACAAGGTAGGACAAGGCAGGACAAGGTAGGACAAGGTAGGACAAGGTAGGACAAGGTAGGACAAGGTAAGCCCAAGATAGGACAAGGTAGGACAAGGTAGGACAAGGTTGGACTGTTCGGTGTTCTCTGTTAAGGCTTAAGGTCTATAGATAAGCCAATCATCGGTAAGAAGGGCCGGGGGTCTGTATAAAGAAATTCCACATTGTCATAGTTTTGCAGGGGCAATTCATTTAATTTTTTGCAAAGAGGACTGTTGTGAATTGGAGCATGCCCTATTTAAATGGAGGATCACTTAAAAATCAAAATGACTGTCTCTTTAAATCATTTGTTTCATGTTTAGGAGAACGAGAACGTGAGTTAACGAAATCTAAAGAAGAAAACAGCTTGCTTAACAATTCTGCTTTATATAATACTCTTGAAACCTCTAAACCTGCTCCTGTATTCACTAAACCTCATCTCCCACTACCTAAACCTGCCCTTCCTTCTACTAAACCTGATATACTCCCAGCTAAACCTGCTCTACCCTCCTATAAACCTATTCTTCAACCCAAACTAAGATCAACCTCTCTATCCAGGTTGGGAATGAAACTGGCGAGCTATGATCTGGGAATGAAAGTTAGCGGGAATGATTTTGCTTCAATGTTTGTGAGTATAGGGAATACTGGTGGTGGACATGGGGATGCTAGAGAACGATAAATCCCCCCCTCCCCCTACTCCTCATTCCCCAATGTCCCCCTTCCACTCCATACCCTTTATATCCCCGTTTCTCAATATTCTACAAAAAGACACTCCCCCCTCCACCCCACTCCCACCATCACTCCAGGGCATTCTTATTAACTGATAACAAACCAAATTTTTCTTGTAATTTAATTTATGTATTTTAATATAAATAAAGATTAATTTTTCTCTTTATTAATATCTACCAAAAAGATAAAATCTAATTATGAATATTTTTGAGAACTACCCTGAGTATCATTTATATGGTATATTGAAAGTCGTACATTACATAGATTAACTCAAAACGACCTTCTGTGTCTATTCTGTGTCTATGATGTGGTTGTACCTATTGATATACATTTATGTAACAACTAAGTGCTACGCTTCAAAACTTCTCTCTCAGTGAAAAAGGAAGAACTAGAAAAACATGTTTATCCTTTATTATGATTATAATCAAATATTTGTTAGGTCATTGGATTAAAGGGCTCTTAAAATTTTTATCTCAAAATTTAAAAAAAACTTAAGAACAATTACTTTTTCATAACTAAGGAAAATTATTTTTTAATTTCATCATATTTAAAATATAAATGACAAAAAAGATTAAGATCAAAATGTACAGTAGATTATCCTATGCTTTTTGTTGTACGTAGAATAAAGTAAAGAGCGTAGAATAATTCAAAGAGCGTAGAATAAAATAAAAAGCGTAGAATAAAATAAAGAGTGTAGAATAAAATAAAGAGCGTAGAATAAATTAAATAGCGTAGGATAAAATAAAAAGCGTAGAATAAAATAAAGAGCGTAGAGTAAGATAAAGAGCGTAGCATGAAATAAAGAGCATAGGATAAAATAAAGAGCGTAGAATAAAATAAAAAAGCGTAGAATAAGATAAAGAGCGTAGAATAAAATAAAAAGCGTAGGATAAAATAAAGAGCGTAGAATAAAATAAAGAGCGTAGAATAAGATAAAGAGCGTAGCATAAAATAAAGAGCGTAGAATAAAATAAAGAGCGTAGCATAAAATAAAGAGCGTAGAATAAAATAAAGAGCGTAGCATAAAATAAAGAGCGTAGAATAAAATAAAGAGCGTAGGATAAAATAAAGAGCCTAGAATAAAATAAAGAGCGTAGAATAAGATAAAGAGCGTAGCATAAAATAAAGAGCATAGGATAAAATAAAGAGCATAGGATAAAATAAAGAGCGTAGGATAAAATAAAGAGCGTAGAATAAAATAAACAGCATAGAATAAAATAAAGTGCGTAGGATAAAAAGGAGAGTAGAATAAAATAAAGAGCTTAGAATAGAATAAACAGCGTAGAATAAAATAAAGAGCGTAGGATAAAATAAAAAGCATAGAATAAGATGAAGAGCGTAGAATAAAATAGAGAGCGTAGCATAAAATAAAGAGCGTAGCATAAAATAAAGATTAGACTACAACAGGGTTTCGTAACAAAACGTTTTTTCCAAAATTGCTGGAAGGAAGAGCCAACTAAAGCAGAGATCATGGAGAATGAAGGAGGAAAAATAGACGACAAGAATAAGTAAGACAGAATTTTTGGTATAATCTGTGCCCAATAATTAAAAAAAGAATTACAATTTAAAAAGAAATAAATGTTAAAAACAATAAAGATTTATAATTTTACTCCAAAACCTTTAAGTAATCTGAAAGTAATTGAGTGGTCTATAACTATAGGTTAAGAGCAATGGTCAAAGAAGCGAAAATCATTAAGCAAAAGGTCGGAAAGATAGAAATAAGAAAAATCTAGATTTTTAAGCTATTACGAAAGTTTTAATAAATTTTATGTTGCGTATTGCAGTTAAAGTTTGTATCTAGCTGAAAGTACAAAGAGATCAAGAAAAATGTCGGAAGGCTGTCGTCTTTGTATTTTCTTTTACTTTAGAAATCATAATGTGTCGTAAAGGGGTTTGTAATTTGGCAATGTTGTCTCTGTAAGATTCCATTTGATAAAAAATCGAATAAGCCAGAGGAAGAATTCCAAACTTTTATTCCAAATAAGTTTCCGCTCTTGATATTCATTTTAAAATTAATTTTAAAGATATGTATTTTGTTATGTGAAGGCTTTCGTCTTTTCTATTTGAAAAAAATATATTTTTAGATTATTTCAAATTATTTTAAGTTTAAGGGACTATAATCGAAATTTCATGTGACTCTCCCTGCAAAGATGAAAATGCCCGATTTAACTGATAAAAGTATGGGAGTATGGAATTGTTTCTCTCACCCGAAAATTTTTTATTTCTGTGAATTTCTCCATTGCTTCTTACAAGTAAGACGTAAGTCACTTTCGCAGAAAAACCGCAAATCAAAATAAAACAGTTTAGAGAAACAAAACTTTTTTTAAGATCTAGATATTTATTATCTCCGTACAAAATAGTTTACATGTGTTTAATAATAAAGTTTTACAACAAATTCGTTTACATTTGTTTGAGAGATTTGTATAAGAGTTAATTTACGGATACATTTTTAAATAAAAAAATTGGAATCAAGGCTACTTTGATTATGCAAAACTTAAAAATTGAGAAATGTACCAATGAAATGGTAGGACATTAAATGCATATAATAAATTATTGACGAGAATAGGGTTTGCGGATTGAATAGAAATTTTTAATAACAGAATCGTTTATATATAATTTGAGCAATTTATGTAGAAATCAGTTTGCGTAGACACTTTACAATTTTCATGAAACCTTGATATAAAGTCTATATAGACTATGTGAAAAATACACAGATTGTGCCAACGAAGAACATTGATGGTTCTTCGTTGGTATGGCTTTATATTAATTAGGCTATGTAGTCTTGACGCTATTTAGCCAACATAAAGGTAAGAAGCTATATCATTAAGATACATACTAGCGCGGAACATTGATGGTTCCTTGCTGCATGTTAATTTATCTATGTAGTATAGAATCTATATGACCGACGTGAAGATAAGAGACTCTGAAATTGAGAAACATACTAGCTTGGAACATTGACGGTTCCTTGTAAAATAGCTTATTAGAGAAACATTAAGTTTAAGTTTGAAGAAAAAACATTATACTTGAGGTCTAGACTCACGGAGAACATTGATGGTTCTGCGCTACTGTCTAGGACGTTGAAGAGAGATTATGGTTTAATCTCTTCATTATTCTCTTATCTTCAATACACTAGAGCAAATATATTGCTCGTTTGTATTGGGCTACAAATTAGAGAGAGCAAAGTAGAGTAGTTGTCCCATTTTCTTGAGACATCCTGGTTTCTCGGCGGTGAGGCTTGTCGGTTCAGGAGGCGTTACAGCTTCCTCAGACTGAATCAGTAAAAATAATCATTAGTTTATTTTGAGAGAAAATTCCGGGTGAGAAGGAAGATTCAGATCTTAGCTCAAGTCCTCATAATTTAAAGATTATTTTTGAACGATATCAATAAAGATTTATTAATTAAAACAAATTACTTATAGAGAAACAAAACTATTGATATCTAATTCCTACTTGATCAGACAAAGCTTTGAAAGGTACTTGTCATCTTTGCATGGAGGGTCACTTGAAATTACGCTTAAAGGCCTTTTAAGGGGAAACATGAGCAACCATATGTACTTTGCTTGTCTGGGTGTCTGTCTGTTTGTGTCTAATAAACGTCAAAACGGTTGAACCGATCGGGCCCAAATTTTGTGTAGGGCACTCATATGACTCCAGGGATGGCTTATGGATGATCGAATTTTCAAAAAAAGTTCTAACAAAATTCAATTTTTGAACATTTTTGTTTTACAATGTATATAAAGAGGAAATGTTCACAATTGAAATTGAAGATGGGCGCCAAAGCTTAACTGTATATTGTTGAATATTAAAGAAACATAACAATGTAAAAATGGCAAAATTGGCATGATTAGCAGCTTGATTAGCAGTTTGATTAGCAGCTTGATTAGCAGCTTGATTAGCAGCTTGATTAGCAGCTTGATTAGCAGCTTGATTAGCAGCTTGATTAGCAGCTTGGGGTTTAACAATTAGAATTTTCAATTGCAACCTTTTTAGTGCTAACTATATGAAAGAAGGAGTAACGGCTAAAACCAGTTTCTTGGTTTCAAGTTATTTCTTCCTTCTTATTTATATTTATTTGCGTAGAATGCGTCAGTTTATCTCAAGATACGCAGGAGATAGTTTATAGAAATGAGGTCTCTTCACATCGTACCGGTGATTATTATTATTTCAACAAATTAAGAGAATTATACAGTTTTGTTTTTAAAGAATTATTTGTTAAACCCATAAAACATTTACGTTTTAATGTTAAGCTTATGATTAAATGTAGATTTTTTGTATTTTGTATTTTATAGTTTATTGTTACGATATTTTTGACAGATTTTGAAAGGGATATCAAAATAGGACTGAAAATATTCCGATACAGATAGGATGCACTCAAAGAGAATAGAATATATATTAGAGTGGAATTTACTAGAAAAAGTGTAAAACGGCCATTTTGTTGAACTGTTTCCATACTGCAGGTGTACTTTACATATTTGTGCTATATAACCTTTTGGGCCCTGGAACATCGTTTTAAAGAAAATCTAAAATCAATATTGAAAGAAAACCAAATTATGAAATAGGCTGGTTTCATAATTGACCAATGATCATTTCCCATAGACTCTATGTCTTTCACTTTACAAACGATGATTTTCCGTTATAACTATAAATCAAATGATGTTTTTTATTCACCTAATTCATTTTATAAAGTTTATTTAACAGCTTTAAAAAATTCGAAATTGAAATGGATAGTCTAGGGAACATACTGTTTTAATGTACTCTACTGCATATAATTTGTGAACATTTACAAGATTTGTACACTTTGAACTCCCTTTTAGGCTGAAAGGGACTGAAAAAATTCATACCGAGGGAACTAAATTCCACTCTATTATATATTCCATTCTCTTTGGATGCACTTCATAGTTGCTAGTTTTACGTGAATTACCAGAATTATAATGTGTAATCTCTTTTATAAAATAATTATTAAAAAAACTAAATCTAAAGTCTAATATGCTTCTTTGTCGATAAGTTGATTGATTTTTAATCTTTATGTTGAGAATAATTAAAATAAATTTGTGTGTATACATAAACGTTAAAACAGCTGAATTGATCAGGCAAGCGTTTTTCCTTGGATTTAATATACTGCAAGGAGTATAGTCGGTCAAGCACTTTAAAGGCCTTTTTATTTTGAATGGACATTTTGGTGTCCACGTATGACCAATTATAGAAAATATATGCGCGCGGTAACTTTTCCCCATGCACTGTGTACCTAGAGCACTAATCTGACTTTGATAGCTCAATATCTAAAGAACTATACAGGATTAATAGTTTCTCAAGTTTTAAAAAGCCATGACTCAATAAAAATCTTGATTTTTCAATTTTCATGCCATTTAGAAAAAGGGACCTAGTAATAACAAAAAATGCTGATTGATTAGAATCCCTGGATCGAAAACGAAGAAATTGATATAACATGATAATTTCATGAAAAATAATGTTTGCCTTCTTAAGCAGTTTTTAGACTTTAGGCGCGATTATATCATATCATAAGATTTTCAGGAATTACTCTCAGAATATATATCAATATATATATCAGAATATAGATCATATGGAAAAGTTATGTTGACACCTTAATGGGCATCGTACAATGTAATCTACATGTATTTGTAAACCTTTACACGAAAAATCTATTTTTATAACTTGTGAGAAAAAAAATATTTTCTTTTTTGATAAGCCAATCAAAAAAATGTTTTTTATTATTAAAAGTTTTTTGAAATGATTTACTAGAATTATTTCTTTCATGAAAGTACACGAAAACGGATTAATGAAAGGGAAAGTACACGAAAACGGATTAATGAAAGGGAAAGTACACGAAAACGGATTCATGAAAGGGAAAGTACACGAAAACGGATTCATGAAAGGGAAAGTACACGAAAACGGATTCATGAAAGGGAAAGTACACGAACACGGATTCATGAAAGGGAAAGTACACGAAAACGGATTCATGAAAGGGAAAGTACACAAACACGGATTCATGAAAGGGAAGGTACACGAAAACGGATTCATGAAGGGAAAGTACACGAAAACGGATTCATGAAAGGGAAATTACACGAAATTTCATAACAGTTGATTTAAACGTTCATCCTAATTATTCAAAAAAAAAAGATTATTATGGCATTGCTGTGGGATGAATAGATAAACCATTTTTGTTAAAGAGTTGTGTTATGTGGTGAATTTTTATCCATTTATTAAATAACAGTTTTTTATCTCGTCACTGCTTTTCTCCTTAAAAAAATATTATTGAATATAGGTATAGTAAAATAAACCTTTTATATAATGACATTATTTTATAGGTACTTTGGATTTTGTGCATTTCACTTCTAAACGCTCAAGGGAATAAATCTAAAAAATACATTTATGAACATGTTTATGTATATGTTTATGAAGACAATTATAAAAAAATGAATAAATAAATGATGAATCATCATTTCGTTGAAATATTTTGTGTTTTCATAGAAATGACCGCTCCGCGTGCTAAATGACACACGTCTAGTGTAAATCAACATGTCAAGGCCAATAGGTCAATTACTTAAGTCACCACCTCCTTTTTATATTTGTTACTAAGGCCAGTAGTTTCATGTGTATTTAAATACGACAAAAAAGTATCACCGACTTCTGCACCCCCCCCCCCTCCCCTGCCCCCCCTACATCAATATAAAAAATGTACATCTACAGAATATTTTTCAGGATGTGGTCTAGCCACAGTGCTCGGTCATTTTACGTGTCGCGCTATGATTCACATTTTTATGTCACTTTGCCTAACTTAATATCACTAATATTTTCATGTACAAATTCTAAATTTCCCCCATTTTTTTCTAAATAATCCCTAAGGATTATTTAGAAAAATAAGATCCTCCTTAATTCCATGCATTTAAGAAAATATTGTTATTTTGGCCTAAACAAAGGAAAGCAGACTAAACAATACTTTTACTTATTTACAAAAGAAGTGTATTGATGACGTTGGCACTTTTTTCTCCAGTCTTAGATGTTTCAAATAGGCAATTATGGCCTCCTCTTCAGGGTGTCCGTCCTCAAATTCAAAATCGATACTGAAGTTTTTAAAATCCTCCCTTGACTTAACATAGGCCTTCCTGCTCTTGTCCTTAATCTGGGCGAAGACTTCATCATCGGCGTAGATCTTCTTTCTCTCGTCCATCTTTCACTTATATGAACGTCTTCTCAGCTCAGGGGTTCCATTAAGAATAAGTTAAAAATCAGATTTGCGCATTTTCTTGGCAAGTTTTATCAGAAAACAATTTATTTCATGAAAATAATTTTTTCATTTAAAATTTAAAATTTATTCTTAACACATCCCAAATAGATGGTATGTGATCGCAATGTGACATAAAATTACCAATGTTCTGCTGATTTCGAAAGTGCGGGATATTATTTTTTTTTTTTGGGGGGGGATAAGTATAACTAATGGTTTATATTCAAGGGATATTTTACGTGGGTGAGACATGTTTTACCCCTGTAAAATATCCCTTGAATATAAACCATTAGTTATACTTATCCCGCAAAAAAATAATTACCCGCACTTTCTAAATCAGCATGGTACATTAATAGTTAAAAAGGAAAAGTGTTTTACGCTTACATCAAATAATAGTTAAATTTCTCTCAAGGTTTGAATTTGCTTTTATGTAATTCTAAATTTTAAATTTTTTAAAGATTTTGATATTGGTCTGTGTGAGAGCCGGGGGTTTGATTGGAGACATAATCAGCATAACTATCTTTACTCAGGCAGTATACAGGGATAATCGGGCTCTTCAAGATTAGAGCATATTAAATGATAATAACTATTAATTACTACTTAACCGGGAGATTAAGGGAGGATAATTAAATTGAGGGGAAAACCACTTAGCCGAGGGCCTCCAAGACCTTTTTGGGGTTCTAAACCTCATGAGCGTAGCGAGGAGGCTCAAGGCTAAGTGGTTTTCCCCTCAATTTAATTATCCTCATGAAAACTCCCGGTTAAGTAGTAATTTATCGTTTAATCTCCTGTTCCTGTTCAACGAAATAACCAACCTTAAATTCCCTCCTTTTTTAATTCCAGGGAGGATAATTACTTATCCTCCCTATTTACAGGGAGGATAATTACTTATCCTCCCTCTTTACAGGGAGGATAATTACTTATCCTCCCTATTTACAGGGAGGATAATTACTTATCCTCACTCTTTACAGGGAGGATAATTACTTATCCTCCCTCTGTGATCCATACAGATTTATGAAATAAATAGTTCTCTAATCTAATTTATATTTACATTTATCACTCTCTTAATCATAAAAAAGGAGGGAATTTAAGGTTGGTTATTTCGTTGAACAGGAGATTAAGATAATATTCGCAATTTTAACGAGCAGAATCCGTCAATCACAATACAATTATTCAATCAATATAAATAGCACCAAATAGTAAACTCTGTTGTTTTAAATTAAAAAAAGGAAAATTTCATGAATTTTGTTGCTGAATCTTGAATATAGGATGAAGGCGCAGATTGGAACAGTGCCAGGGATTATTGTAGACAAAGGAAAAACAATTTGTTAAAATGCATAATTGTCATTTTGTAACCCTGATTTGTAAACGCTTTTTCCTCGCCAATTTTTTTAAACATCTCAAAACTCTCGAAGCAGAGTTAATTTGACTACTAATCACAGAATATTGGTAACAATTCTCTTCTCCTGTGAAAACGTGATTATTCCAATCTGAAGTTGATCCAACCTATTCTAAACCGATTATTGTAATATATATCAATTTATAGAAATGCAGCAGTAAACCATCGAAATTTCAACATTTAAAACTGGTTTGAATTTTAAATTTTGTCTTAAATGAAGCTTTGAACCCGGGGGGTCATTGTCTAAACTTTGAAATTTCGAACTCGACATAATTAAATATTTTCAGTTGTGGTTTCTCTACGAGGTTGACTTTAAATACAGGATCACTTTAAATTACGATAAGGAGTTTAAGTTAGGGTTTACGAAGTGAAAATTTAGAAAGTTGATTAAATTTGTTTTTCTACCACTAGATGTATGGATCTCGTATCAATTAACTCAGAACCTGAATGGAGGGTTATCAGGTAGATCAAAATCAAAATCAAAATCAAAATTTCACAATTTTTTTTTTTTGTCACGTTTAAAAACATTCACGCGAAAAATGCGCTTTGAACAAGGAGTATGGAATATAAGGGAGAAGGAATCGACCCGGCCCAAAGATAATATATATATAGATATGCAGGCAGGTAGAAACCTCCTTCCTAAATTGCTTGTAGCAGACAACTAATTTTTGTCCCTCTGAGATAAAGTGCAAGGAGAGATATTTGTTTCATTAAGTACAATATGCAGTATACATTGTTGATACTACAGTACGCATTTAGTGTTATCACGCATAAACAAAGTGATAAATTAGCAACAATCCAGGAGGATAAAATGCCATGCGTACGACAGAGATGGTGCTGATCGCACTTTTTCTCAAGACCTCAAAATTTATACCTGCCTGCATATCTATATATATATATTATCTTTGACCCGGCCGCCCTACTATATGATTATCACATGCTTTGCAGAAAAAGAGATTTTACAAGTCGTCTTTTAATTTTTCAAATATTTTTTACTATGCCATATTTTATAAAACCGATTTTTTATATTATAAAAAAATAGTTTGTATTGCCAATATTTTTGCATCCCAAAAATGTTATTGTCTGGCGTTATTCAGTCCTTGATTCAGTCTACTTTTTGTTTTGTTTAATGTATACAATAACCCATTCTAAATACATGTACGCGGTTTCACCAAACAAACATCAGACAAATATTTCTTATTCAAATGGAGAACTGTCTGCAAAGCATGTATAATTATAAGGTAGGCTGGGTCGGGTCATTCCTTCTCCCTTATATTCCATACTCCTCGGCGCCGAATCTACAAATAAAAAATAAATGCAATTTATAACAAAAATTTAATTATATATTTTAAACAAAATTTTCCAATAATAGATGAATTTTTTTCCTGAAAATCGAAAGCTTCTGAAACAAAATTATCGGAAAGAACCTGTCAAATCTTTCGTTGGGATGTTTAGAAAGATGAAAATTTCCCTGTATGATAATTGAAGGACTGCAGTATGGTTTTGGTGAATTATATTAGCGTACAAAGCCTAGGGGTGTCAGAAATGATTTTTTTTGCATTTTTTTAAAAACTTCTATAAAACTTTTTAAGTTTAATTTTTGATAAAACTTTTTGTTCTGGATTATTGCAAATATCTATCTAAAACTTTCTTAAACCGGCATATTTTTCTATACTCATTTAGTTAAGAGTTTGAGTCAAAATAAGTATTAATAAATATTGCTTTATATCGAGTAGATATCCTTAAACATACCGATGTAAAACCTTTCAGAAAGTAGGAAAGATTCAGCAAAAAAAAGTTGCCAAACCAAACAGAATTTTTATTTTGAACAAAAATATTTAGAACTTAAAGAAGCTTTTCTGGGTTGCACTTTACTCTAGTTTTGCATTATTTTCATTTGTGTATAACAGTATAAAAGACATTCTGTTGATGGTTTAAAACTAAACAGCTGATGATTAATTGGAGGGAGGAATCGCAAAAACACCAATTTGTAATTCGAAAATTTTTTAATGGAAAGTGATTGTAACAGGGAATACAAAGTGTTTTAGGGTACAGGGAACTACAATGTACTGCAAAGTACTGGGCTTTACTGGGGGGAGGGGGTACAGAAACCAAACAGAATTTTAATTTTTAATAAAGAAATAAAAGTAAGCACTTCTAAGGATGTTTTCTTTATAGTTTTGCACTATTTTCAAGGACAAAAAAGCTAGTTTAATGCTATTCAGCTGACCACTTAATGGAGGGAGGGATGGCAACAACTCCAATTTGTAATCCCCATATCTGCAGGGTACTGTTGGGTACTGTTGGGTACTTTAATTCACCAAAACCATATTGCAGTCCTTCAATTATCATACAGGGAAATTTTCATCTTTCTAAACATCCCAACGAAAGATTTGACAGGTTCTTTTCACTTTTTCTTTCTTTCATCGGTTTATTTTATTTCATGCATAATACTGATAGGAAAAATATTCTGATAATGAACTCCAAAAAAGTCATCATCTTTTCCACACGCAACACTAGACTTATTATCCGAGTACAAAAAGTTTAAAAAGTTATGACAAAAGTGTGTATTATTCTGTAAAAGAGGTGACAATTCTGCAATATCTGACAAAGGATTTGAGTCTTTGCCACAAACTCTGATTTTCTAATCCCTATGTCTTTTTAATCCAATGTCATAGACCTTAGATATTTCAAACAATGAATTATGTTAAATCAAATAATCCAAGTTTGAAATATCAAAGGGTTACACCTTCCGGTCGCAGATATAAAGGGATTAGAAAATTTGAGTTTCTGGCAAAAACTCAGTTCCTTTAACCCTATTCCTGCTGGGGGGTGATTCAAGATGTAACCCTGTAAACCTTTATGTGAGATAAATTGGAAGAGTTGGTCGGTTTACTCTCTCAAAAAGATTTGTAAAAATTTTATGTCACTTTTTAATATTGCTCACTCAGACGAAGATTCAAAGGTCACACATTTGAAATTCAAGTAAATTTTACTGCTGCGTGTTTACCGTTGCTATAACTCTTAAACCTCCTTTCAGAACGGACAAAAATTTAAATTTGCTCATGTTAATATAAAATTAATTTGATTGAAAAAATACCAAATTTTAGAAAACATCTGAAGCAGTTGAATGTATCCGCTATCTGGAGTTCTGGACATCTTTGTACAAAACAAGTTTCCAATAGGTTAGTACAGTACTCACAATTCTGTACTTTACTGTACTGTAATGATACAGTACTGTACTAAGTGTTCCCTTACTATACCATAATGTTCCAGTACTGTGTGATATTGATCTGGTACTGTATCATAATGTTTTGATGCTGTACTGTTCAGGTACAGTACAGTACTGTACAGGTGCAGTACAGTACTGTTCAGGTACAGTAAATTACTGTTTAGGTATAGTACAGTGCTGTTTAGGTGCAGTACAGTACTGTTCAGGTACAGTAAAGTAAAGTTCAGGTACAGTTCAGTACTGTTCAGGTACAGTACAGTACTGTTCAGGTACAGTACAGTACTGTTCATGTACAGTACAGTACTGTTCAGGTACAGTACAGTACTGTACAGGTGCAGTACAGTACTGTTCAGGTACAGTACAGTACTGTTCAGGAACAGTACAGTACTGTGCAGGTACAGTACAGTACTTTTCAGGTACAGTACAGTACTGTTCAGGTGCAGTACAGTACAGTTCATGTGCAGTAAATTACTGTTCAGGTACAGTACAGTACTGTTCAGGTACAGTACAGTACTGTTCAGGTACATTACAGTACTGTTCAGGTACAGTACAGTACTGTTCAGGTGCAGTACAGTACTGTTCAGGTACAGTAAAGTACTGTTCAGGTACAGTACAGTACTGTTCAGGTACAGTACAGTACTGTTCAGGTACAGTACAGTACTGTTCAGGTGCAGCACAGAACTGTTCAGGTACAGTACAGTACTGTTCAGGTGCAGTACAGAACTGTTCAGGTGCAGTACAGTACTGTTCAGGTGCAGTACAGTACAGTTCAAGTACGTTGTACGTATATTCTCTACTTATATGCATTGCACGGTACTTTCTTAGTACAAACTGGAAAGTACTGTCAGAAATGTTTCGGTACTGCACTGGATTGTTTGTACTATGTAATGTGTACTGTGTAATGTGTGTACTGTGTAATGTGTGTACTAATCTAGATGTTTCACGGAGCCTGATCTTCAACCGCGTATAGTCTATGCTTGGTTCTGGGCAGGATCTGGACACAGGTTGTTTTGAAATTTAAAGAAGTTTTCTTCATCACCCTGTATTGTATTTATTAAGGATACCCCCCACCAATTCTACTGCACCAGGCTGGTCATATTCACCTTGGGGTAAATACGGATCTTTGAAGGAGGTAATTAAATATTTCACAAAATTCACAGCATAAATTGTCTTGGTATACAAATTTTTTTAAGGAAACGGGTGAGTAAGTTTCCACATTTAAAATCTGAACGTGCTATGAAATTATTTTTAGATTTTTTGATAAGAATTTGTATGTAAAATTAGGCAGAAAGCAGACAGCCTGACAATGCGGAGCAATTATCGAATCTTGGCAGAGGAGAAGAGGAGGCCTGTCTAGCTTTATTATACTCCAGGTAGGATTAGGAGAAGAGGAGACCTGTCTAGCTATATCATACTCCAGGTAGGGTTAGGAGAAGAGGAGACCTGTCTAGCTTTATCATACTCCAGGTAGGATTAGGAGAAGAGGAGACCTGTCTAGCTATATCATACTCCAGGTAAGATTAGGAGAAGAGGAGACCTGTCCAGCTTTATCATACTCCAGGTAGGATTAGGATAAAAGGAGACCTGTCTAGCTTTATCATACTCCTGGTAGGGTAAGGAGAGGAGAAGACCTGTCTAGCTTTATCATACTCCAGGTAGGATTAGGAGAGGAGGAGACCTGTCTAGCTTTATCATACACCAGGTAGGGTTAGGAGAAGAGGAGACCTGTCCAGCTTTATTATACTCCAGGTAGGATTAAGACATGAGGAGACCTGTCCAGCTTTATCATACTCCAGGTAGGATTAGGAGAAGAGGAGACCTGTCTAGCTTTATCATACTCCAGGTAGGATTAGGAGAAGAGGAGGAGACCTGTCTAGATTTATCATACTCCAGGTAGGATTAGGAGAAGAGGAGACCTGTCTAGCTATCTCCTACTTCAGGTAGGATTAGGAGAGAACTGGACCTGTTTAGCTATATTCTACTCCAGATAGGATTAAGAGAAAAGAAGACCTGTAGAGAGCTATATCCCACTCCAAAAGGAGGCGAGGGGGGGGGGAGGTTCTTTATTTATTAACGCTATTGTTTTGTCTAGTCTTGAATCTGCATATGTTTGGGAGGATTACAGCTGCTACCCTAAGCTTCAATGGTTGTGTGAGGATAGTGAGGACCTGTTGCTAGAGGCTGGAATAAATAAACCTATTATTTTTGGTTAAACGTTTATTATATGCAAAATAAAAAATGTATGAAAATATAAAGCATTGCAAAAAGATAAGTTGAAACATTTCAAAGCTCTAGATGTTTGGGCGGATATGCCTGCATGTACAATTATTATCACAAATAACAAGACGTTTTTTGCAGATCTGGAGATATGTAAACACACATCCCGGGCACTCTGTCCTGTCCTAGACAGAAAGATATGGTCACATTTGTGCGACACTTCTTGTACGACTTTGTTAACGTGTAGCTCATAGTCTTGATTATACACACCAATATGAGAGGAAATATAACCAGTTTTATTTTAGAAACTCACAACATTTTTGTTATTCTCTTTAGCTCTTCAATATGAGGAGTTGTTTTGTCTATAGCTCTTCAATATGAGGAGTTATTTCTCTTTATTTCTCTTTATTTCTCTATAGCTCTTCAATATGAGGGGTTATTTCTCTATAGCTGTTCAATATGAGGAGTTATTTCTCTATAACTCTTCAATATCTGGAGTTATTTCTCTATAGCTCTTCAATATGAGGAGTTATTTCTCTTTAGCTCTTCAATATGAGGAGTTATTTCTTTATAGCTTTTCAATATGAGGAGTTATTTCTCGATAACTCTTCAATAGGAGGAGTTATTTCTCTATAGCTCTTCAATATGAGGAGTTATTTCTCTATAGCTCTTCAATATGAAGAGTTATATCTCTATAGCTCTTAAATATGAGGAGTTATTTCTCTATAGCTCTTCAATATGAGGAGTTATTTCTCTATAGCTCTTCAATATGAAGAGTTATATCTCTATAGCTCTTCAATATGAGGAGTTATTTCTCTTTAGCTCTTCAATATGAGGAGTTGTTTCTCTATAGCTCTTCAATATGAGGAGTTAGTTCTCTATAACTCTTCAATATGAGGAGTTATTTCTCTATAGCTCTTCAATATGAGGAGTTATTTCTCTATAGCTCTTCAATATGAGGAGTTATTTCTCTATAGCTGTTCAATATGAGGAGTTATTTCTCTATAGCTGTTCAATATCTGGAGTTATTTCTCTATAGCTCTTCAATATGAGGAGTTATTTCTCTTTAGCTCTTCAATATGACGAGTTATTTCTTTATAGCTTTTCAATATGAGGAGTTATTTCTCTATAGCTCTTCAATATGAGGAGTTATTTCTCTATAGCTCTTCAATATGAAGAGTTATTTCTCTATAGCTCTTCAATATGAGGAGATATTTCTCTTTAGCTCTTCAATATGAGGAGTTATTTCTTTATAGCTTTTCAATATGAGGAGTAATAATTGGAAAGTGTAAGATTTTGATCTTGCGTACAATTTTCTTTAGTTTAACGTGAGGTGGTTGTTAAGCTGTGTAATGTTGTTATGTTGAACTAAGAAAAGGTGGATTCTGGCGCAAAAGTCTTTCATGATTTTGCCGTTGGCAACACTTCCCTTCAAGCTGAGGCCTGAAACTAGCACTTTGCAGCTTTGAAATTGTAAGATCCACTGCTACAAAAAAAGAAAAAAAGAGTTTGTAAAGTTAAATACTTTGCTTTATTGTTAAACTTTATTACATGCACCAATACAAATGTATTTAAATATCAGATCATTTTTATTTCATTTTTAAACATATTTGATAAACTCAGGCAAGGTAGCTTGTTGACACACTTTCGGGACTTTCGGGACTTTTGGTCTTTCCTGCAGGCTTGTTTCCACTCAGAGAATTCTAAAAAATGGACTTTTCATGTATAGAGTGGAATGTCCAATTTACAACGGTACCCTTAAAAACTTTTTGTTGCTGAGTAAGTATGAATCATCCATGTTTCTCCTTTTAAAAACTAATAATTTTCCGTTGTGGTTTTTTTCTGCAAACGTGACTTTCTGCTACAGAAGGAAAGGGAAATGTTCATAATACAACACTTGTCAAGCTAGAAATACGATGATATCTTTCACACTCTTGGATCAGATAAAGATATCGTTGGAAATTGGGTTTGCTCCTCTTTCAGGGGACCATTCACTTATTTGGGAAATTTTAGGGTAAACTAAATAGCTTATTAGATATTTATTGGTATTAGTCTTACTTTTCAAAGACAACTGTGACCTGAGAAATAGCAGATGTATCATTCAGAATTCCAGCGCAAAGGTGTGATACCTTTGTATTTACACTATTTGATGCTTTTGTCATAGTGATTCCTTGAAGAGTTGGAATCTAGGAACCTGTTTGCCTGAGAGAGAAAGTCGTCTTTGTACAAAATTGTTAATTTGTTAAATCACACAAAAACGTTAATTTCTTGCTTATTCTAAAATCAAAAGTTTTTGTATTTTATTATATAATGGCTGACACATGATGTCATTGAAATATGATAATTTTAGATTTTATTGGGCTGTTGTTATTGAAAAAACGTTTAAATAGTGACTATGCAAAGGTGTCATACCTTTCTGCTGGAATTCTAGCCAATAAATCGGCTTTTTCTCCGGTCATGGATATCTTGGAAAATTAAGTAAGTGAACGGTCCTTGTAAAAGGAGAGTCGTGTAAAGTTTCAACGAAAGTCCCTATAAAGATTTCTTTACCTGCAAAATCTATATATTTTAATAGGATCATTTCGTCATATATGTCCGTGTTTTATCTTATCGAACAGCTATGTTAAGGATATCTATATTCTACTGCTTTTACATTTTTACATGCCTCTATAATTTAGCATTTTTTTGCATTATCATCCAAAGTGCAGCAATGAATGTTTAGCATGGGGTTTTGTATGCACAACATTTTGTGTGATTAAAGACTAATTCTTTTTTTTGGTGGAAATATTAGAAATGTCAAATTGATTAGAGTAAATGTCGATGCAATTCCTGTTTATAAATAACGAAATAATTTTTTAATAACACAAATTACAGAGAGGGGATCAACATTTATACTGATAAGGGCATTTCATTAAAAGCTAAAAACAATTAAAAATTAAACCCATTTTTACCTTAAAATTGTGAAGTCCAGAACTAACAGCTTCTGCAGCTCTAATTATAGCTTTTCTAAAACAAAACAATAAATATTATAGATTCTTATGTCTATGTCAATATAATATGGAAACACCTCACCACGGAAATGCCTCAAAAATCACTGTTGATGAATTTCCGGTTCATTTTGGGAAATTCCTCAAAACTGGAACGGGGTGAGGGATTTCCAAATATTTTAACTTGTTTCTCAATATTCATAGTTAAGGTGTTTCCTCTTTTTTTTAGGCGTTTCCGTTTTTCAAAAAAACTCTTGTAACTCAATTTAGTTGAGGTGTTTCCTCTTTTTTTTTTTGAGGCGTTTCCGCATATTTTTGAGGCGTTTCCGTTTTTCAAAGACACTTAAAAGATTTCTTTTAGGTGAGCAGTTTCCTTTTTTTTGAGACGTTTTCGCATATTTTTGAGGCATTTCCTTTCATTCATAAAAAAAACTTTCAAAACTTTATTAAGAAAAGGAGTTACATTTTTCTTTTCAGTTTTTCAAAAAATTTATTTTAGATGAGGTGTTAACTCTTTTTGAGGTGTTTCCATTTATCAAAAAACCTTTTAAAGTTTTTTAGTTGCGGTTTTTCCTCTTTTTTTGTACTAGCAGGGGCGTACGAGAGCTGTAGTGTTGGGGGGGGGAACCTTAAATTTTTTTGCACACCCCTAGACGTTTCCCCCCCCCGCCCCTAAAAACCCCTATTTTGACAAAATTACTGATTCGTTTTTTATCTATATTAAAGAACCATTTTTTACTTTTACTTTTTTACTTAGACTTTGGTTGGTTTAGAAGTTAGAATTTACATGTGTTGATTTTATATCAGAGAAGATGAGATTTTGTCAAAAACTCCAAAATTATAATACCTATACCTGTGCAACCTGATGTCATAGATCTTATATATTTTTAATTCTATCAACTAAAAAATAAGTTTGAAATAATGTTTATACCATCAGGTTTCAAAGAAATAGGGATTAGAAAATATGAGTTGGTGGACAAAATTTAGTTCTTTTCTTGAAAAATCTTCCCCCCTTTCAAAAATAATGTTTCTCCCCGAGATATTAAATATGTTTGGGCAGAGAAGCAACATTTGCTGAATTTTTATTTTGATCATTTAAACTCATTAACCCTGATTATTGATCCAACAGAGAGATATTTATGTTAAAGAACGGTTAGATGAAAAGAAGAAATATATTCTGAATTTTGATTTTTAAATTTTTATCTACTTGTAACTTTTAATTCGAAAAAATCTTGTCGTCTACATTGTATTGATATAATCGCCGACCATTATAAAATATTGAAAATAGTATTAGTTTTTCCTATCATCTCCTATTCTTTGTTTAATTTATTTTTGACAAAATGTATTTTGAATTTTGAATATTTATTTTTACAGATTTTTTTTCTAATTTTCTTTAAATTTTCGCCAATTTTTTTTCGTAATTTTGCGCAATTGAAAGTTCGAAAAACGATTATTCTGGTACGCCGGAAACGCCTTGAAACAAGTGGAAACAACTTAGCTAAATGAAATTTTTAAAGTTTTTTTTTAAATGAAAACATCTCAACTAAATTTACTTTTTAAGAATACGGAAAGGCCTCAAAAAGTTTGCGGAAACGCCGTAAAAGAAAGAGGAAACACCTCAAATAAAAAAGTTTTTAAAAATACGGAAACGCCTCAAAGATTTTGCGGAAACGCATAAAAAAAGTTAAAATATCTCAACTAAATGAAGTTTTTAACAATACAGAAACGCCTCCAAAATTTTGCGGAAACGCTTAAAAAAACAGAGGAGCCAGTTCTGAATCCTCGTCCTTTGATTATTATGTGTTTTAAAGTTTAAAATTCTCGACGATTAAAACTATTTTATTAAATATGACCACGTTAGGGCTTACAATATGGATAGACTAAGTATTGCAATAATTACATCATGTTGGAGAATCTTTAAACCCATGAGAATGATGTCAAACTTTATTTAGTTAAAACTTAAATATCTTCTGCCTCCGTATTGGCTAACCTTCGCTATATAAATTAAATAGAAAAATATATGAAACCACTGCAGGAAAATTTTTTTGGTTTTCACTATAATTAGCAAAAAAAGATTGAAGTTCTATAATCTCGGAATTATTTGCGGCATTCTACACCAGGAATATCTGAAAATGCGATAAATAATGTGAGCATTTTGAAGGATATTAAACTTGAAAACTTCAACTCGATTGAAACAATTTTTTTTTCGATTTAAAAAATCCAATATTTTATTTCTGCCCCTACGTGACCCGATTCTTAAAACATAGTTTTATCTGGGAAGATGGACATTTTTAAAAAAAACGACGAGGATTTCCAGCTGGCTCGGACGAGTAAATGAGGAGAATGTGGCTCGGACGAGAAATTATTGTGGTTGACCTTCCTCCCCTCCATCCATCAACTCTGTTTATTTACCTGACTGGATTATCCTTGAATACAGATATCTTCTCCTTGTTGTAAACTTTGTTTAGATACTGGTCATGCCCGTAGTTTTTACCTACATAGTCTAGTTCCACATTCACCTAAACTTATTTAGTAAAATCGTTTGCTCAGTAAAATCGGTCTTTCAGTAAAATCGTTTGCTCAGTAAAATCGGTCTTTCAGTAAAATCGTTTGCTCAGTAAAATCGCGTCCAGTGAAGTTCAGTATACAGTCGTTCGTTCAGTAAAATCGTTCAGTAAAATCGTTTGCTCAGTAAAATCGGTCTTTCAGTAAAATCGTTTGCTCAGTAAAATCGGTCTTTCAGTAAAATCGTTTGCTCAGTAAAATCGGTCGTCCAGTGAAGTTCAGTATACAGTCGTTCGTTCAGTAAAATCGTTCAGTAAAATCGTTCATTTAGTAAAATGGTGCATTCAGTAAAATCGTTCCTTTAGTAAAATTGTTCGTTCAGTAAAATCGTTCATTCTGTAATATCTTTCTTTTAATAAAATCGAATTTAAAAGAATTTAAATTTCGCTCGTTTTCAAAAATTGCGTTAGGAAAAACGATGCCCGGCCATTTCTATGGAAGACTAAGTTAGTTATGATAGAATACAAACATTCAGTCTTAACAGACAGGTCAGTTGTACTATCCAGTCAGGACTACCAAGTGTAGAGTCGTCTACCTGACAAGATTAAGGGGTGTTTTGAAGATCACGACAATTAAGGTTCGTTGATATGACTGAAAGGTGATAATTTATCTCTTATGTCCCGTTTTGCCCTCAATTGAACTCTACAACGTGCTGTAGTTGCCCAGAGGTGTGCTTGGTATTTCAAAATAAATAGAGTTCCCAGTGATTGTTTTTCTCTGGGAGAGTACCTTGGATGTGAATTTAGGAACATGTTGGAGAACACTGACAGCTCTAGTAACTCCGACGCCAGGGTGGAACACTTCATGTTCACAGTAATCTGCACCAAGAAGCTCCATGTGCTGAAATTAGTAGAAATATATTTTTTTATTTGAAAATAGAGGGTGAGGTGTTTTGGTTGCTGCGGACAATGAAAGATTGTTGAGGAAATATTAATAAACTTAATTTTTTGGGTAAAAGTATCAAAAAGTTGGGAAAGCACCAAATTTCATTCTTTACCCAAGATCAGCGAAAGTTCGAACGGATGGGGGGGGGGTATATTTTTTCAAAACATTTATGAAGGGAAAACTGACATTTGGTTTTAAATAATGATCTCACCTCTGCCATTCTGATAGGACAGACCAGATCCACAAGAAAGAGTAGAATATAAGTACTTACGCTTGACCAAATAAAAATGACAACAACAGCAAAAATCTTCAAAAAAAAAACATTCTTACTTTCGTCTGTCAGAGGTTTAAATAATTAGGTATTTTGAGATAAAAGGTAGAAATAGAATAAGCTTATTGTTGTTATTACTAATCATTCTTTAGGAGGGAATATTGAAATATTATTAAATATAAAGAATAAGATGATAATTTTAAGGTAAACATGCGCTACAGTGAGATTCAGAAAACTAAAGAATAGAAAGACAAGATTAGCGTATTTGATGTCGCTACAAAGCAAATAGTATCAGTAATAAGATATTAAAGTATTTCTCAAGTTAAATGGGTCTGTTTACCCTGTACGACTCCCTTGTCTCATGTTCATTGGTCATTGTCGTAATCCTATTCCAAAGTTTTCTGTTTTTCAGTATATTACAGTCTAAAAAAGCATATTCTCTCTGGATGATAAAGATAAAAATTATTTCGAATTGGTCCAAACTAAACGAAACATTCGACCATTGCCATTCCAATTTTGTAGCTATTGTGATTTTTTTTACTGAAATAACTATATATACCTGTATTCTAATTACAACAGTTTGAAATTTTGAAATATCCATGAATCAAAGTACCTTAAACTTTTTTTTTATTAATTTATATTATTGAAAAACAAACTAATTTCAACTTCCCCTAATAAGTATGTTTCTCCATGCCATATGATTCCATTGTATTTTGAATATCCAATTGAAACTACATCCTTCTGCAAGCAAATAGAAATGTTAAATCAGAAAGAACCTGAAATATTGTTCGATTGAAAAAATACAATAACAGGCGAATAAAGAGGAATCATAAAAAAACGTTTTATTATGCCATGAAAGTCAACAAATAGCAAGAACTGTATCTAAAATAAAACTAGGCTTTCTAAAGTATGGTCTATTTTTCTAGTAACTTTTTTTGAATTTGATTTCTACAGTATAACATCATAACATACAGTCATGGAAAAATGAATTGCAGAAAAAAAAACAATCTTTAAAGTTGTCATTTATTTTCTTTAATTATTGGACCACCTTGGTACAAAAATCATACCCTTGCAAATAGTCCAACTGCTATCATACCCCAGGCTCCTCCGAAGCCATGAACACAGGTTGCTCCAACAGCATCATCTACCTGGATACAATTAAGAATCATCTCTTGAGCTGAAACTTTAGAATTGAGGATATCGAGATCAATGCTTGATTTTCTCTTTTTGTTAATTTGGAGAAACTCGAACGTTCCATCAGAGAAGCCGGGAAATTTGAAATGTTGCGCGGCATTTAATGACTCTCATTGCTCAAACAAAGTAAGGATATCCAAAAAGAAAGAAAAAGAGCGGATTAAGCAGAAAATTTAAAATGTCCACATTGGATATTTAAATTAAGCAATTGGGATTGAAGGTATCCAATTGTACAGTTTTTAGCTCTTGATAGTTTTCCATGAATAGTTAATAAATGTTTGGTCAACTAGTTGAGATATTTGGAAGCTTTCTAAGCTTAAAATTTTGGAATTAATCAATGACAACAAGAAAATCCGTGAACTTGTTTATGTTGTTATTACTTTAAAATGAACATCGTACATGTATACATTAAAGAAAGGCAACTAAAATCTAAAATTCTGGGCTCAAAATACCCTGTGAGTCCAGAGTAAAAAAATTTCCGAGTGCATCAAATTTTGTTTTTTTTTCAAAATCGAATTTTGAAATAAGAAAATTCATTCCTAATTTTTACATAGGCTATTTTTATAGCCTGTTACCCCCAGCACCCCACAAGTTTCTAAAAAAATGTCAGCCAATTTGCTCCAGCTATGGCTAAGTAATAAATATATACATATAAACGAAGAGCTAATTTATAATCTTCGTGGTTAACTATATGTGCTGATTACCTTTAACCAGGTGAGGAGTAGAGGAGTTATGTTGGCAAGGAAAGATCCAACAACCCCTGAACAAATAAAATATCCACCATGTGCATCTATTAACATGTTCTTAAAATCCTCCTGTTCTCTGTAATCCCCCACCCCCAGGGATGTTAACGTTTTCATTTTTTTTTAAAATGATTGTTTTGTTATGAAAACGACGACAAAAAAATCGAAAACGAAACGATTGTTTTTTTAAAGTTCGTTTTTTTTAAAAATGGTCGTTTTCAAGACGATCGTTTTTAAAAATGATCATTGTTCTCGTCGTTTCGTTAAAGATTGTTAACGATTACCCTTCGTTAACGATCGTTAGCGACGACTATTCGTTAACGATCGTTAACGACAACCCTTCATTAACGATCCTTAACGACGACCATTCACTAACGATCGTTAACAAAGAGAGTAAACCGACCTGAAGGGCATCTGTACTTATCATTGAGTAGTTAAAATATCAAGAAGTTTTAGCTCTCCCACAACTTTTTAACTTCATTTAAGACGATATTCAATAAAGTTGTATGTAATTGTTTTTTCAAAAACGATCTTTTTTTCAAAAACGATTGTTTTTATTAAATTTCGTCGTTTCGTTAACGATCGTTATCGACAACCCATGGTTAACGATCTTTAAAGACAACCCTTCGTTAACGATCGTTAAAATAATTGTCAATAATTATTTTTTTTCAAAAACCATCATTTTTTCAAAAGCGATCGGTTTTTTAAAAAACAATCGTATAAAAAACGGTCACAAATAGTTTTTATATAAACGATTGTTTTCAAAAACGATCGTTATTCGTTTTCTGAAAGTTCAAAACGAGTGGGTCGTTTTTATAAACGATCGTTTTTTTCCGAACACGAAACGATCGTTTTTGAAAACGATAGAAAAAACGAAACAAAAAACGATTAACAACCTTAAATTTGTCATAAACGTTATAACATAAAAATCCTCCAGAATCACTAACTCATACATCAGAACCGTTAAGGGAATTAGGGAAAGAACAATCATGGCACGACCAGGTTGAAACAGTTCATTTATTCTTCAGCATTGTAGCAGTTCATTACATAGTTCATAAATACACTACAACGGAGCACAGTATTTACACATTCAAGGTTAAAGCATTGTAGCAGTTCTGTACATAGTACACTATAGTACACTACAACTAAATTCACTCGGGGGGGGGGTATATGGACTGCCCCCCCCCCATAAAAATCGCCTATGAATCCAGCAGTTAATATCCTAACAAAGACTATTGAAGCCAATTCTAAGCTTTTGCGTTTAAATATATTTTAAATGTATGTAAAAACGACACAAACTCAATTCCTGGCAGAAATTTATTTTCCATTCTAAATGATTGTTATGTGGTAAATCTATCTTAGTAAAATGTTAAGAAGCAAATGAAATATTTTGATGTCCCAGTGGACCATGCATGGATAGTTCAGATATTTCAAGAACTTTTGTTAATACAAGAACCAATAATTTATTTATTGAAGGATTCAATAATAACCTAATAACTGAAATAGTAGATATGTTATGTAATGAGTTGTGATCTCAATGTCGTCTATGAATAAATCTTTATAATATAACTTCTTTAAATCAAATCATACCCAGCCTTACCTATAAATAAGGCTTCAAACACATCCACTACAGCACATGAAGCTGTAACCCCCACCAGCCCTCCAAGTATACCATTTACTATTGTTAAAACATCCTGTTTTTTATCACATGTGAAGTAGCTCTGGACCATGGCAGTAAACCCTCCGCTGAAACTTGCAAGTAAAGTTGTGACGCATGCCTGCAAAATGAATAGAGTAAAGTTGTGACGCATGCCTGCAAAAAAGAATAGAGTCAAGTTGTGACGCATGCCTGCAAAAAAGAATAGAGTCAAGTTGTGACGCATGCCTGCAAAAAAAAGAAAAGCTTCAACAGACATCACTGCAAACAAACACCTAAGTTGGTGGCAAAGGCTCAATTTCTTTCTCAATCACCTTAGCAGAAAGTCTCCATTTGTTGCCACTAATACCAAATGTACTCCCTGCATTAAAGGACAGCCAGCCCCACCAAAGCATAAAAAGTCCTGAGATAGAAAAATAAAATAAAATAAAATACTTTTTGCCTGAAAAAAGTGTTACCTATCACTGCATTTGTTGGACTACCCATGGGTGGTGCGGTATCTCCATCCCATCTGCCTAATCTAAAATATAAAAATTGAAAAAATGCCTTTATGATATTCAAACCTAACACACTTGTGATGATGATGCACAAAACATGTTAAATGAGAATTTAGATATTACAGTTCTAAACTGGCTAGAAAAACAGTATCTTAGTTGAACACAGATTGCATTCGATTTTTTAAAATTAATTCAAGAACTTAGACGAAAACAGTAATTCTGTTGAAACTAATTTCAAGTTTTCAGGCGATCAAGAAAACAAAAATTAACTTTATCATAGAAAATAGGTCATTTTATTCAGTCATCTGTTTCTGAACAATTGATTCTATCGCCCAAAACTTTACTCATAGATTTACTTAATTTTAATGCAAATTCGACATTTGAAGAAATCTGGGAATAAGTTTGTATAAAATAAAAAAGAATTAGATAATGACGATAAAGAAATAATCTGTGTTCTGAGAAATATAAGTTTCTTAAACAGCAAATTAGATTATAAACACGTTTTTTAACGTGTCTTTTCTGGGTTATTAAAATATTTTTAAAAGTGGAATCTTGTGAGCAAACCTTTAGACTTATCAAGCCTTGTGAATTATGAAGAACGAGCTTTGTTCTCATGTATAGAACGTAAACACAATTATTAAGACAGTCAATCCCTTCAACTCGCGAACCTCAAATCACTTGTCTTTGCTTTAGTTTTCAGAAGTAATTAAAAACATTCTTATCAATTTTTTTTGTGAGGGCTTGTAACTTTTGGATCACTGTGTGTTATGCTTCAAATGTTAACCTAGGTCCCAGCAGCCAAGCAGCAACAAAAGCCGAAGTTCCTCCCACTAAAAAAAGTAGAACTAAACCCTCTCAAGTATTTTTTAGAAACTTAACAGATCAGCTGAATACAGTTTAATCCAGAAAGATAAATCAAATATCTAATTTTATTTCCTATATCTTTCCAACATGATCCAACATTTCAAACCTGACCATGACAATTGACACCTATGCATATTTTATTGTTCAAAGTATCAAATATCTTCAGCTGTTACGCGACCCAGTCACGTATATACGAATGTGTAGAGATGCTGCCCCTGTGTGAGAATCCCCCTATGAGTCTGCGGCGCCCCTGATCTGTATACTGTGTGAAGAGATGAACATTCTGGATGGCCGAAGCCTAAAACTAGTTCATGTATAGTTTAGCGTACACTTTCGCGGCGCAGTTGAAATCAATTGTTGTAACTGATTTATCGTCGCCATATTTTTCTTACTTAAAATTGATTTGTGATGTTGTGTGGAGGCTCAATATGGTAAGAAGTTACGCTAAATTATTCATAAATCATTGTATTGTATTTATAATAGATTAGTTGCAGGTTTTTTACGCCCAAATAGTATAGTTTCTTTGTGAGTTTATATTTTTTCGCTTGATTTATCCACGTTTATATTTGGGCTTTTTCCTGCAGATAAAAAGAGATTTAAAAGATTTAGGAGTTCTAGTTGTATTTTTTTTCTAGTTGAACTACAGTCAAATAAAGCTCTGAACTCTTATTGGCTTCATTATGAGCGGAAGAAAGAGAGAAAGAAGTTACGACAAACCATCGCAGAATATCACAAGGTACATGTGTTCGCTGATCGCGAAACATCAGCATCAGGTTGAAAAGATATAAGAATAAACGAAAAGAGTATTTTATTATTAGTTTATCGTTTAAGTTTAAGATTAATAGCTGTCAGCGAGCGCCATTTGCATAAAAAAGCGAATGTGAAAATTTTTCTGAATTAAAGGGACTGTAAGCATACTTTTGAGTGACCTTCCCGTTCCATTAAAAGAGGGGTAACCCCGATTTACCTGGGTACCTTAAAACATTTGACTGATCAATGAAGTGTCGGACTTTTCCTTACTTATCCATAGCAACGCTCCTTATTTATCTACAGCAACACTCCTTATTTATCTACAGCAACACTCCTTATTTATCTACAGCAACACTCCTTCTTTATCTACAGCAAAACTCCTTATTTATCTACAGCAACGCTCCTTATTTATCTACAGCAAGGCTTGTAATTATTAAACACTTAGTTCATAAGCTGTTTGATATTTAAGGAATGTTAAAGTAATCTTTCTGGCAGAACCTAGATATTCTTATTCAAATTTATGAAAACTGTGTTATAGTATCATAGAGTTTTCTGGATATTCCAGATTTTACTTTTCGGGGTCTATAAATTTAGGTAGTTTTTATTTTGAGTAATTAGAAAACAAAAAGAGAATGTAAAGAAACCACATGAATTAATATTGATATCTACAAAACTTCATGAAAGGTACTGGGTTTCAGGACGATACCGTGTCTTAAGTTTCGGGCTTATGGGAAAGATGAGACGTCAGCTGTGTTGAGTAAGACTTTTGTGTCTGATGATTTTTCGAAGGTTTGAAGGGTACTGTTCAGAAGGTCACTTAAATTACGCGTACATCCCTTTAAATACAAAAAGAAGAACTATTCTACTTTCCTAAATGAACTCCGCCACTGCCTGCAATATCTACTACACCAAGATTTTTAAGAAACCCATGATTGCCCCATAACCAGCCTGCAGGAACACAGTATACCACTGTATTCACCAGGGAGAATAGGCAATAGGCATTGAAGTCACATCTCTCAGCAATGGCTCCGGACACTAAGATAACAATTTTATATTCTTATTACTAACATAATCTTTTTCAAAAAGTTAATTGTCCCGGGCCCTGGCTGACTAACTCATGCCCCGCTGGTGAACGTTTGAATTTTCGAGCTGGGCCCACCTTTGCAGTCCTACTTTGAACTGTACCGCCGATTAACAATTACTAAAGCATCAAAGAGTGTGTACTGACTACTGATCAGTCTCTCACTATATACACTTGTGGTATATTTGACCCGGGAATTTATTAATATATCAACAAATATCGGATTTTTTTTGATGTTTTTACGTCACACAATCATGTTCACGAAAGGAGATTATTATGTCATGTTTATCAATATAAGGCTTACATAAGAGTCTTATAACATAATTGAAACAGATTATGATAGGATTTTAGTATCCAAAAATACACACTTTCTTAAAATAAATGCCGTCGTAATTTCAAGTGACCCGGCATTTACATTTACAAATTAACATGTGAAATTTCCAGTGGTACCATGTAGTTCTTTTTCAGAAATTTTAAAATTTTCTTTTGCGGATTTCTGTAGCAGTGAATAGGAAATTCAGAAAAGGAATGGAGTTTTTGTCATATACTCTAATTTTCTAATCCCAATATCGTAGACCTTTGATATTTCAAAATATGAATTTTGTTGGATCGAAAAATCTAAGTTTGAAATATCAAAGTTTTACAACATCAAGTTGCAAAGAAATAGGGATGAGAAAATTTGAGTTTGTGGCAAATACTCAATTCCTTCCTATCTGTCTCATCTGAGATTCAATGTAAAAATCAATTCGGAAAAGTAAAATTTGAAATTGAAATTCACTTGAAACTTAATTCTATTGTTTACAAATTTTTCTTCACATATTTTTTAAAAATCAACACACAGAAATAATTTCTTGGATCTGTTTGATTAAAAAATGTAAAACTGAATTTATGATTTATCATGTTCATGGTGATATTTGGAATTTTGAACTTATCCCCCCTAAATAAAAAAATATATAACAAGCCTATAGTAGTTGCAGTGGTAGCAAAGGACATCTGGAAGAGAAATACAGTAAAGGTTGGTCCCTGCATAGGACCTGATTCATCTAGGAACCAGGAACCCATAGCTGTAAACCAACTGGTTCCCGTAGACTCACCATAGCTGAGTCCATAACCAAACGCCCAATATGTTACACCCCCTGTAAAAAAGCACTGTTGTAAAATATAATTATATCTAATTATAACGTTTTGATTTTTTGCTTTTCCCATTTTCTAAACAATGAGTTGTCTGTTTCCAATAACAGTAAAACAGTTGTATCCTGATCCACCGAAGAATTATTTTTAAATATTTGAAAAATCTGCCAATTCGATTTGAAAAATCCACGAAATATTATAAGTGTTCTTAATATTAAGAATGTACAGAGGAAAAACTGCTTACATTTAAAGTTGCCACAAAAAAACAAGCTCAAGCTTGTATTGGTAGGACGGCACGAAGCCCCCTGATTTTTTAATATAATTATGTAACCTAAGATTACATCACACACGTTCTTCATCATAATGTTGACCTCGTTCTTTAAGGACACACATCCTGACTCCAGCATACCAAACCCTGTCTGCATATTGAAGATGATCATTGATGCAGTAATCTGCCAAACTGCATCATCGTGATACCAGCCTTTATAGGAATTATAGATGTAATTTCAAGTGACCCTCTATATATTTAGTGGCATGTCCGATTACCGACGATATTCTTAAAAGCTTTTTTTACGAATGAATGAGATTAGCATTTTTTCTCTTTGAAAATTGGTTATTTTTTACTGGAGTTTCACTAAAAATGCGACTACGTGAATCTTTGCAGCAGGTACAATAAGAAAATTGTCATAATTTGAATTAAGCGATATCTCATTCAGAAAAAAGTACAACGATATATCTTCCGTAATGATAGTCATATAAAGGTTTAAAAGGTGTTGTTATGAATCGGGTATAGAAGGTCATTTGAAATTACAATGATTGTCCCTTCTAGAGGATCATCTACTGGAATAGATGTATCATTCCACAGTTTCTCTTCAATGTAATCATTGTCCATAATTATTCTGAATAAAAAGTTGTAATTCATAAGTTAGGTTTTAATATGAGTGACTCGATTATTGATAATCATGGTTTAGGCCTTTTTCAGAAAAGATGAGAAAATTTATTTTTGTGGCAAACACTCAATTCCTTGAAATGATATAATTATTTTTAACGCCAATTATAGTCATAGAGAATAGAATATATATTAGAGGGGAATTTAAAGAATCTCTCGGTATGAATTTTTTCAGTCCCTTTCAGCCTGAAAGTGTACAAATCATGTAAATGTTCACAAATTATATGCAGTAGAGTACATTATTATAGTATGTTCCCTAGACTATTCATTTCAATTTCGAATTTTTGAAACTGTTAAATAATCTTTATAATGAATTAGGTGAATAAAAAACATCATTTGATTTATAGTTATAACGGAAAATCATCGTTTGTAAAGTGGAAGGCATAGAGTCTATGTGAAATAATCATTGGTCAATTATGAAACCAGCCTATTTCATAATTTGGTTTTCTTTTAACAATAATTTTAGATTTTCTACAAAATGATATTCCAGGGCCCAAAAGGTTATAAAGCATAAATATGTGAAGTACACCTGCAGTATGGAAACAGTACAACAAAATAGCCGTTTTACACTTTTTTCTAGTAAATTCCCCTCTAATATATATTCTATTCTCTATGATTATAGTGTACACTTTTATTGAGAAGTGTTAACTCTTTAAACAACGTAAAATACTAAGTTTGTAACTTTTTAAATGAGTATAAGTAAAATTTGAATAAAACGTTTGATTTTATTTGTTTTAAGCCCTTTCCTTAAGTTTAAATCAGAACCATAATGCGCTACCATGGATGATAAACTAGAGAATAGAGAGATATATCATGATTCCTGATTTTAATCATTCATAAGGTTCAGGTTCAATCTAATCAGGGGTAGATCAACTCCACAAAAATATTATTTATATGCGAATATTCTAGTTAATTTGATAAGGGTTTGGACAATTTTAAACAAACAAAAACATATAGTAAAATTATTTCTTGTTATAAAATCTATAGGTTAACTATTGATTTTTAAGATTAAAATTTAACACTGCTTGATATAATTTTAAATTTTTTTCTTGTTCTTTCTATAATAAAAAGTGTTTGAAATATAGTTTTCCTTTAAAAGGGACCAAACTAATCTAAACCAGAGTAAACCAGAGATAAAATTATTCTATTCAAGATAGTATCAAGATTTAGAGGTTTATCTATTCTAAAGTTAATATTTTGTTTAAATTAGCTTTTTTCAGAATATCTTTTCAGAACCCCTAAATTAGTTAGGCTTTGCTATTCAAAATAGTCACAATTTTTAAGCTCCAAGACTGCAAAAATAAATGTCAAAAATTCATCATGGCCGCGGCTTAACACCAGAATTAAAAGAAAGAAAAAAAGCACTTTTATTTTGGTTTTGATTTTCGGACATATTTTCACATATTTTCATATTTACCTTGTTATTAACGCTCAAGATAACTTGTGTTGTTTTACCCTTCAGAGGTTTGTGATGTTACGTATGGGATTTTACGTTTAATTTTAGACTTTCCATTGAACATTTTTACATTTTCCAATTATATGACCCGTCAGATTTTTGGTCATCATATTTTATATTAATTTTACTGATAATTAAAGAAAAAATTAGCAGAACGCCAAAAGGGACTATATCATACCTCTCTCCCCCACCCTCCTTTGAAGGTTTATCTTCATAAATAAATTTAAAAAAACGTCTAGATACAGTTACCCAGTTTGAATGTTTTATAAAAAATGATCAGATATGTACTATGTATTGTATATTGTATACCTACTTCATGGCCGGAAGGAGGGGGGGGGGGGACGCGGACAAATATACCTTTCTCGCTCCAAACAATAAACAGAAAATTTGATTACATTTCTCGGAAATAAATCCCCCTCCCCTCCCGCCCCCCCTACCCTTCTCTCCTCTCCACCATATGGATAATAAAGAAAACACTAATAAAAAATTTTCATCACAATGATTAATTTTCAGAAAGGAATTTTCTAGCACTATGATAAAACAGGGACGAGCTAGAAATGGAAAAAATAATAGTTCCATTGTTCGGCCTGAAGCATTTTCCTCTTTTAAGTATAATTGTAGCATATTCTGTTGTAATATCATGTCCAGTATGATCCTTATTATCCATGTTCGTAATATATCTTATCTATTTCAATGTTGACCCTGACTGTCCATTACGGTCAGTTTTGATTTTACCTGTTTATAAAATAAAGTAGTTCAATACGAATTGTTGATTAACACGGACGTGTCCAGAGCCTTGAGTTTTGGCTAGATATTGAGAGCCTTGAGTCAGTGAGATTCTAATTAGACTTTGAGTTGAGTTATCGTTGAATTATCTCGGGGCAAGATTTCTTACATAATTTCTTAAATCAGTTTCTCACTGAAGTACAGATTGTCCCAAAAAAGGATGATTAGAATCTTTGGGAAATTTTTGAAAAGTAATTGAGTCTTTGTCACAACCCAAGATTTTCCAATTCCTATATCTTTATAGATACCTGTTGGTGTAAACCTTTAATTTCAAACTTAAAGTTTTTGATCCACCAAAATTCATATTTTGACATATCTAACGTCACGATACTGGCTTACAAATACTTGTGGTAAAGACTAAATTCCGTTGATTCTGTGAATATATCAATTAATTTAAAACAATTATAATCCCTGATATAATTTAATAATACTAGAAATTCAAGGCGCTTCGCGCCCTTCTTTCTAGCCTTAGAGGGCGCTTCCCGCCCATCTTCTAAATTAGTTGTGAACATGTTCTCTTTGTGTACATCGTAAAACAAAACAAAAATAATTCACGGATTTTTACAAAAAATTTGCGGATTTTCAAAATTTTTAAAAATTTAATGACGATCGAATTTTGATAGAGACAAATATTTGAAATTCTGATGATTCATAAACCTTCCCTGGAGTCCCTAGATGTCCCACAAAAAATTAGGGCCCGATCGGTTCAGCCGTTTTGACGTTTATTGGATACAAACAAACAAACAAACAAACAGACAAACAGACAGACAGACAAGCCAAATTTATATATAGATATAGAAACTTTCTTTAAATTTAAGACTTTATAAATTAATATGTTTAATTCTAGCTGATACATTCTACAAATAAGAATGTTTTTATCTATTCTTAATATTGGACATTTAATCCATTTAAAATTTATCTTTCTATTTCATCTAAGGAATGGAAAAAGTGCAATTATAGAATTCATAAAAACTAAATATTTTTTGTCCCCGGACGTTAAAAAACAAGATGTGCTTACTTTTGGAAAGGTTATTTGTTTGAGAAACCACTATGAAGTCTAATTAAAAAAAAAAAATTCTGAGTTTGCTCAACTTTCAAATTCAGACTTTTTATTTCCAGGCCTTCAAAAAAACACATTGTTTCACAGAAAAAAAATGTTTTAAGCAAAAAAACCTAATGTTTTAAAGAAAAAAATGTAATGTTTTTGTGTAATCCAAATATTTTCAGAAGTTTAAATTTTGTTCATATCATCTTAAAACACCTAAGCCATGAAAACTAAGAATAATTTCTTCACAAAATTTTGGTTTAGTTTGTCAAATAGAACCCGTTTTTTGTTAATCAGGTTCTATGTCCCTCCCTGGAAAATCGGGTGAAATTCCTTTCTAGAAAATCGGGTGATTTCTCCCTCCATGGAAAATCGGGGAGATTGTCCCCTACCTGGAAATTCGGGGGATTTCCCCCTACCTGGAAAATAAATAATGAGGGTGCAGCTTGAACCCGCGCGCTAATATATAATATATGATAAAGATATTGGTGCCTCTCATTATTAGTGTTCGGAGGATAAATAGATAGATAGATAGATAGATAGTGGAGGCCGAGATAAACGGAGGATATATAAGACAGGTGTGGATGAAAACCTTGTATTTACTGAACAATCTTCAGAGACAACCAACTTCATAAATGTCTGTCCAAAATAATTCCAATTTTCTTCTTATTTATTTTCATTTCTTAATTTTTTAACCGTTGTTGAGGTTTATTATAAGACACTATATAAATCAACTCCCTCAATTTGGAATTTTAAAACCAAAGCTAAGAACATTACCGTGGTTCTCCCGAGTTCCCCAATGAGTTCTTGAGTTATGTTCTGACATACAAACAGACAAACAGAGATTACATCTTTATAGAAACCCCAACCTTGCGCTCAACATTATTTAAACTTTAGTTCGTTCGTGATAGTTCATAACTAAACAAAATATACCCTGTACCTTGTTTTTAAATTTTTCATAATTTTCGAATTATGATTGTCTTATGCATTATTTGTAAAAAAAAACTTTCATAATTTCATTTTCTCGTTCTTTCTTTTTGTACCTTTAAATTTTCTTTTTTCTTTTTTCTTCATTATTTTTATCTTCCTCCTCCTTTCCTATCTTATTACTTTACATTCTTCTAGTTCTTCCTATTGTTCATCCTTCTCTATCCTTCTAATTTTCCTATTTTTCATTCTTCTCTATCTTCCTACTATTCATCCTTATTTATCCTACTACGTTTCCTTCTTTTCTATCTTCCTACTTTTTGTTCTTCTCAATCTTCTTACTTTTCATCCTTGTCTATCTTCCTACTTGTAATCCTTCTTTATCTTCATACTTGTCATCCTTCTTTATCTTCCTACTGGTCATCCTTCTTTATCTTCCTACTTGTCATCCTTCTTTATCTTCCTACTTGTCATCCTTCTTTATCTTCCTAGTTGTCATCCTTCTCTATATTTACACTTTGCATTCTTCTCTTTTTTTCTACTTTTTATTTCTCCTACTTTTCATTCTTCTCTGTCTTCCTACTTTTCATTCTTCTCTATCTTCCTACTATTAATTCTTCTCTATCTTCCTATTATTCACTCTTCTCTATCTTAATACTTTGCATTCTTCTTTATCTTCCTACTTTACATTCTTCTCTATCTTCCTACTTTGCATTCTTCTCTATCTTCCTATTATTCACTCTTCTCTATCTTCCTACTATTGATTCTTCTCTATCTTTCTATTATCCACTCTTCTCTATCTTAATACTTTGCATTCTTCTCTTTATTCCTATAATTCATTTTTCTTATTGGTTTGCACTTCCTTCTAATTAGTAAAAACAAAGTATAAAAGTACAAAGAGTTTTTGTATAAAAATTGTATCATAGGATCAAAAAGAGTTTTAGCGGCGAAAGAGAAAGGACCGGTTAAGTGTATTAAATGTTTTATCGAGTTTGATAATATCTTAAAATCACATTTTTCAAACTTTTCATCAACTTTAAATGTTTTTTTTGTTTTTTTTAACATTTTAAAGAACCTAGTTTTTTAAATGTTTGATACAAAGGAATTGAGTCGTTGCCACAAACTTTGATTTTATAATCTCAATATCTCTGCAACCAAATGTCGTAGACCTTAAATATTTCAAACTCTGAATTCTGGTAGATCAAAAAATCTAAGTTTGAAATATCAAAGATTTAAGCCATCAAGTTGCACAGATATAGGGATTAGAAAAATGAAGGTTGTGGCAAAGACTCAACTCCATTATAGATAACATATTTTTTTGTAAAATATAAAAAGTCCTCGCTTGAATTATTTAACTGATGCTTTAAAATTTCATTTTTATTCAGGTGCGTATTTAAAATGTCGTCTTGATTTGAAGTGTTTGCAAACGTTATATTATTATTATTATTATTAGAGTTATTTACACACATTTAATATACATACATATATTACATATTACATACTTTAATGGTATAGTTTGTTTTGTTATGAATGATATTAGATGTATTCATTTTTCACTCTCATAATCTCCAATTTCATAAACCTGCTATTTTAAAGAAATCTATAGTCAGACTTTTAATAATATTTTTCTTTCAGAAATAAATTTCTTGCACTTAAAAAGTTGATTCAGGAAAAGTATCAAATTTTGGTAACAATAAAAATGTAAGCAATATTTAGAACAAGTCAGCTCGTAATTAAAATACATGCTAACTACATACAGACTTTTCCAGCATATTCTTGATGTTTCTAATACACTTGACATCCAGACTAATCAAAGGGTGTAAACCCGTTATCGATGTTGCAGGTAGACTTGACATCCACATTTATCACTCATCAAAGGGTCTAATCCAATTTTTGTTTCTAGTAGACTTTTAACATCCACAATAATCAAAGGGTGTAAACCCATTCTCGATATTTCTAGTAGACTTTTAACATCCTGATGTTTCTAGTAGACTTGACATCTACAATAATCAAAGGGTGTAAACCCGTTCTTGATATTTCTAGTAGACTTGACATCTCCAATAATCAAAGAGAGTAAACCCATTCTCGATGTTTCTAGTAGATTTGACACACATTTATCAAACGGGAACCTAAAAGGTTTCCTCTCGAACATACAAGTTCTATAAGGGATTCGGCCCTAGTCCTCTTATAATTAGCAGACATTTTGCATGCTTTCCTCCAGAGAGAGGTGTTGACTCCTCAACTGCTCTCAACTAACTAAGTATTATTGGCAGAGGATGCATTTTTTATTGATTTACGACTAAAAGCTATGTTTATTGAAACTTAATTTTGATAGGTTTGGTTAAATATTTCAGAATATAATTAATGTATTCTTTATCCTTCCTTCTTCTGGTTTCTGGTCTTCTTAACTTTGTCAGTTCAAGTAAGTTTAAAAACAAGAGTTTTAAACAATCAGACATATTGTTTCCATGGTTCACAAAAAAAGAAAAAATCCTTCTCTCTGGATACAGGGTTACCCACAAAGAGAGCCAAACGTACGGAATGTATACTGTCTGTTTCTTATATTCATTATTCCTTGCAACTGTTAACTTGCTTCTTTCTTTGTCTAGTCCAAATAGTGCAATAGATGGCAACGTAGAATTTGTACACACGCAGTACAGCTGTATTCTTACGTCACAAGTGTCAACTAAGTTTGATGTGTCCGAGAAAAATATTAATAATAGTGACCATTTTAGAATAATTATCTGACAGTAAAATAAGTGCAATTCTATGTGTTCCTTATATTCTGTTTTTACACTTTTTTATTTAATTTTGGAAAACATGTCAATTAATGTGAGAAAATTTTGTTTTATATTTGACACTTATGACGTCGTGTATAATTGGTCCATTTCTTTGTTACCACCTATAGTACTTGATAATCTATTTGGTCTCGTCTGTTTTTAAGCAATAAAAAAACTATTTTCAAGCTAGAAAACTAAAGCTTTTCTTGGAATCGTCATATTTTAAGAGTTTCAGATTATCTTTACAAGGTCATCCTTTACAGGGTAACCCTGTTGTAGAAAAACATTTTTTCAAAACTTTAAAAGTTTTTTTTTAAATTAATCTTTTATCTCATTAATTTAGTTGTCCAGACGATAAATTGGTGATTTATTTTCAACATTTTTAAAAACTTTCACGAAGAAATATGTTTTTTTCATAAAATAATTTTTTATAAAATTTCTCTATCATAAATCTATTATTTTCAGCGGCAGATTTTAATGTGTTTAGAAGTTCAGATTGATTTTTTATTTTGTAGTTTGTAATACACATTTATTTATGCAATTTCATAGGAAAATATAAACTTGCTCTCTCAGTTCCTGTTTTATTTAGAACATGCTTAAATACGTATAGATCTAAATACAAATGCCGAAGATGGATTTTATCAAGCAAAAAAACTGGTTTTATAAATGGAAAACGGATAAAGTAAAGGCATTGCAACTCTTATCTCTTTGCATCTCAACGTCATTGCTCTAAGATTTCAAAATATGAATTCTGTTAGATCAAATGATTCAAGTTTGAGATATGAATCTCAATTTCTTTAATATATGTATGCGTATTTTGTCCCAACCCTCTTGTGATAAATAATGAACACTCCCTTTCAGGAAGCCTTGAACCTGAAGTTGATGTCTACTCCAAGCTACCAGGGTATGATCCTGATCTCCTGGTGGATGAGGAGGAGCTAAGGATTGCAACCCAACCCATCCATCTGAGCAGGAGCAGCCATCCAACCCTGCACCAGGAGTCAGGACGGATACCCAGAATCCAGGAGAAGAGAAGCGTCCTGAAGAGAATACCCCGTCAACACCCAGGTCCAGCTCAAGATATAGACATGGAGAATAGGATTTATTATCTTCCTCAGTACTGGAGAGGAACTGGAGATGAGATCCCAGCTACGGGCATGAGTTTGAATACAGAAATTCCAAGGTTAAGTTTGGATCTGGGTGAAGATCTAACTGATGAAGATGGTTTAATGATCCCTACCTCCAGCCTACATGATACACTCCTCAGAGACATCCAGGTTAGGATGGGTAATAAGAAAAAGGGATTGTTAACTAATTTTCAAATGATTCTGCTTTTTTAAGTGATTTTTATTTAAAACTTTATCCTGTTAAAGTTTGTTTTGCAGTATTTGTATCTTAAGAGAAATATAATGAAAATGCGTATCAAAGAAACTATTATTTTGAAACGATAGTTTTTGGTTCTGAAAATGTTTAGATAAACCCGATTGTATTATTATTATTATTATTTTATTATTTCTCAGATTTTTGAGAAACCTTTCTAAAGCTCCAATCCTCTCAAAAACGATGTAAGAGATATATTTGTTTTATCTTTCTGATCAGTGAATTTATAGGTTAAAAATTAAGAAATAAAAGTTAAAGGCACCATGGAAATTTTGAGTCAAACAATTTGTTCACCAATCCCATAAAATGTTTCGGAATATAGAAAAAATTAGGTTCAAAAGTATGCAGAACATAACCTTCCACAATATGTTAATTTTCTAATACCTCCATGGTAAAAATATTTAGACTTATTTTGTTATTTTGATATGAATAACAAACAAATTAGAACAGTTTCTCCGAACATACAATTTATACTTCAAAATATGTTTTTCTCCGTCAAATTCTATTTTTACAAAAGTTTAATTTTTTATCCCACTTTTACGCTTTTTTTGATCAAGACACAATAATTATTCACAAAAAGTTAAACGTTGTCTGAGATAGAATTGAGTCCAATAAATGCCCGTCTAATCGCTGTCTGTAATCAGTATAAAGTTAAAAAAGGGTCAGAAACATGTGTCTAAAACCAGGCTCCCAAACAAGTATCTCAAACCTGGCTCCCAAACAAGTTTCTCAAACCAGGCTCCCAAACAAGTGTCTCAAACCAGGCTCCCAAACAAGGTTCTCAAACCAGGCTCTCAAACAGGCGTCTCAAACCAGGCTCCCAAACAAGTATCTCAAACCAGGCTCCCAAACAAGTATCTCAAACTTTAGTAATTTTTTAATCAGCGGCTGATTTCTTATGCTATAAGTTATACCTTATAATTAATATTTGTAATTGACTTAAATAGGTGGATAAAGAAGATAAAAATAACAAATCCTACTTATTATTCCAAAATATGTGAAAAAAAGAATCCAAAAAATTGAAATCGGAAATTCTTTTCATCTTCTTGCTTCTTATTATATTATGAATTGTATTTATAACAGGGAATAGGAATAAAGGAAAAGGAAATGGCGCTGGTCTGGCATGAGAAAGCCAGCCGCACTGCTTTGCAGTTCATTGTAAACTTTAATCAAATTATATTCTTTGCATGAAAATTTGGCTTTATATTGTTGACTTAAATATATAAATAATATACTACATGCATATTAAACATTTTTTAGGTAAACAATTAACAATAAACAAATGTACTCCCCTAGACTGTACAAATACCGAGATTCTTATATATACCTACAGTACACGCCTTTGGTTCGGTATTCCTTACACACACTCTATTGGTAAAGACACACACACATGACGTTTTAGCCCCCTGATTTATAAGAACTAAACTATTCAACTATTTATAAAAAATCGCGACATAATATTACAAAACAATAAAAAAAACGACATTCATTCCACAAATGTTGGTTCTCACTGTATCTTTATCTTCTCTAGATGCTGTCTATCCCTACAGAGACACAGAGAAGCGTAAACATGAAAACTAAGATGGCCAAGGATTCTCAAACCAACCAGATCTACACTAAGCACTATCCAAGGAGGTTCTGGGAGGAGAATGCAGAGGATGAAGAGGATAGGGATGAGAATAATGAGAAGAGAATCTATCAAAACCTGACGTCCTCTGCGCTGCAGATTAGACCACGTAAGTTTACTTTTAAGCTTTTTATGTAAGATATTTTGTTAACAAAATCGAAATATTAAAACAGTTAAAAAATTTACGTTATAATCGATATTTTAAAAAGGCTTTGGATAGTTTGATAAACAATTTGTTGTATTCACGTTATTTTGTTTTTAAAACTATAGTTTGTATAATAATAATAAAGAAAAAATAGAGAGAGAATTCTTAAATAAATATTGAATGCCAATGTAAATGTCATGACATTTTATTGTGTTCATATTGTGACATCTGTATTTAAGAAGATAATTATTAATTATAATAATAATAAAGTAGATACAGTTAGAACTAGATACATTACAGGCTTACAACAAGGACATTGTTATCTTAAGAATTAATTTAATATCAAACTTTATGTTTATCTCAATTTATTTGTTTATTTTGAATAAAGGACATGAGTCTTCCAAAGGTTTCCACCATCAGGTTGCAAAGATATAGGGATTTGAACATTTGAGAATGGTGCAAAGAGTCAATTTCTTTACCACAACAGTAGTAAACCACAGAACTTAAAACTTAAAACTGAAACGTATACGTGACAAAGCACAACAAAAAAGCCTTATTCCAGTATTTGAAATGTATAACTTTTATTCAATATTATCATCATTTTTGGTTCATAGCACTAAACTTCCCTAAGTCTGGCTTGAGTTATTAAAGAAAAATAATGTGCAAAATTTTCCAGATTTATAAAAATGTCATACTAAATATAATTTATTTTAACCTATGTTTTATTTGGAGTAATAAACAAACCTTTAGCTACAACTGAAACTAGTTGTACAATGTATACAGTATACACACATAACATACTTAATAAGTTAATTGGGACGGTACACCAGGGATATTGATGTGATACTATATACCAAGGAGAATTGAATAGAAGGAGGGGGCGATAGGGTTTCCGTAAACTTTGCTGTGACGTTTTTGGACTGCTGAACAAAGGCAGCAGATCTAATGTAAACAAACATGAGTTAGTATACGGTGAATCTTCATCTAACGCCAGAAATGCCAGATGTCTGTTTATCATTTGTGTTATTGTTTACAATCTTTATTATTGTTGTTACGCAAAAACTAGTTCTTCAGCAGTCCAAAAACGTCACAGCAAATTGTACGGAAACCCTATATATATTATTATACTATAGCTGAAGTGCAAGGTTTTATCCGTTGAGTTAATAAAAAACATTTCGGGGCAACATTTTCAAATTGAAAAAAATCGATTTTTTTTTTATTTTGAAAAATATTTGAACAAAAAATTGTCCCGTTTGGCCGACTTTAGCTTCTTAATTAATGCTATCAAACTTGCTTTAGTTGCCTGAAATGGTGTACGCTATAGACTCATAAAACGCTACATTGATAAAGCACTATTGAAGAAAAAACACTGATTTATCAAAATATTATAATTTTGAATTCAAACTTTAAATTATTTTACTTACTTCTTTATGGATTATTAATAAGAGCTATTTGGAGATGATTGCATTTATTTTATGTTTGTTTTAAAACAGAATATGTTAACAAATATTCAAATATTGTCTAATTAACCAACATTAATAATATAAATTATTATATAAATTCATGAACACTTAAAAATTGACAATATATTTGCAAGTAAATATCTAATTAAATCTGTAATACTATTATTTAGACCAAGATTATAATGCAAGGAAAGTTAATTGCAGTTGCGTATACTATGCATACATATTGAAACCAGTTCTCTCTGGGCGGAATTTGTAAACAAGAATAGATGCATCAGTGTTCGTTTAGTATCCGAGGAGGTTGAAAGCATTAAATTTTAATAATTTTGATAATTCAAATAATAGTTTCTTTTGACCAGAATATTTCATTGATTTTTTATGTGAAATCCCATGTCAGTCTTCGACATCCATCTTGTGTTTACATTACCTTCCAGAGACAGTACACTGCAGTAAAAAGATGCGTATAACTCTGAAATAACTTTCCTTGCTATATAACCTTGATTTAGACAATAAATGAAACTGAGTTCTTCTCAATTTATGATTATGTTTAGAAGTAGTGAAGAGAAGTCCTTCTTGTCTACGACGCTGCTTGAGCCTGCAGTACATTCACCCAGCTCAGTGTCACAGCTTCTGCTGATTTATGTACAACATGTACATATAGAATACAGCTGGAGTTATAGTGTTACAACTAGCCTGTAAATTACCGTTTATGTACAGCTAGTTGTTTAAAAATTAAATCTTTTGTAGAACATGTACGGATTTTCTTAAGAAAAAGTAAAATTAATTTACAAAACTAAATCCTTAATATTTGTAGAGTACTTGATGGCTGATTATGTAAAGTGCTCCAATACAACCTTGTCTCTCTTGTGCTAGCATAAGATTTTATAATTCAAACCTAATAATCTTATTTGCATTTGAGAATCTTTAATTTGCAATACAATACAAGGGAAGGGAAAACAGCTGCAGTACAATACAGGTTAAATTATTTTCTGTCTAGCATTGAATTGTGAATATAAAGAAAAGTAGCGCCTGAAGACTCATTTTTTGTGGGTAACCCTGTATATCTGCAAACATCTGTTCCGTCAAAGCGTCTGACTAACATTTTAATCTTCATATTCATACCTTGTTGTACAATGTGAAATGTATACATTGATCCTGCTTATGTACTGTACAATTCCCTTTCCCGTACTCCGTACTAATACGTTTTCAGTACTGAAGCTGTAACTGTACTTAATTATGTATTGTACTGCATTTTGTATTTCATCACTCATTTTGAAAATAAACAATTGGTTGTTCCTTTACAACTGTACAACTGTACAACTGTACATTTCACCAGAGTCTCATACACTGTTTATATATCGGGAGCCAGTAAATGTAGATTATAATTGTCATAATTTATTCTGATTACTAAATAATTGTAAACTTATTTAATAAAATAAATATTTTGGGAGAAAGATATTTGTTTTCTACATTAGCATGGACAAAATGTCCTTTTATGATTTACCAAAATAGTCTAAACCTTAATCTACAATTTTAATTGTCTATTTACCCATCTAGTAAAGTTATAGTTCAGTAAAACTCAAACATTTTAGGCTATCGGAAGAATTTTTATAATGTCGTCTTGAATTTAAAGCTGTCTGTGCAAGTTACTAAAGCACAATGTTGAAAATTTAACTTTTTAATATAAAAAAAATATTTATTTTAAACAATACAAAAATTCGTCTAAAGTTATTTTTATATTTGAGTTTAACTGTGGTTATATCCACGTTTACCCACCATGGTTTTTAAAATTGCATACCGAATATGACAGTTTGAGTTGCAGGAAACAGAAATGCTGTAATACAGGGTGTCCCAATAAACATGGGAATTCAGTGACGAATTCGATATCGTCTTTTTAAATAATTCTTTGATTTAGTATAGTGATACCTACTGAGAAAGCTGTAATCTGTAAGAGTTTCGTCTGCTATGTTCACAATTTGTTTGTTTATGTTTTAACTGCATCATACGGTTATACTTAGTAAAACAAGAAAATTGCAGTACACAAACGGAGTAAACTTGTCCGTCTTCACTGTTCATCTTGCGGAGACATTTTAAACACACTTTTAAAGTATTTTACCCTTTTCAATTACAATGCTAATTAATAACAAAGACGATATCAAATTCGTCACAGAATTGCCATGTTTTTTGGGACACCCTGTACCCTGCAAATTCACAAAAAAAAATCAAACAGAGCAAAGAACCCTTGGAAAAAAGGACGTTTTGATTTCTGGCGCTATACGAAATCTTTAATTTAATTTTTGCAGAGGTAATTTTCAAGAGGGTCAGGAGTCAGGAGAAGGGGCCTAGCGCTGCGTCTAGGATATATCAGAACAGCTTAAATTGAATTGGAAAATGACGCCGGCAAAAAAAGACACTACAGAGAAAAAGTTCTAGAGTTTATATTTTATAGCTTAAACACCCTCTTGTTTCTCAGAAATATCTTAAAAGTGTCAGCCATAGAGAATAGAATATATAGAGAGGAATTTACTAGAAAAAAGTGTAAAACGGCCATTTTGTTGTACTGTTTCCATACTGCAGGTGTACTTCACATATTTATGCTATATAACCTGTTGGGCCTTTGAATATCATTTTATAGAAAATCTAAAATTATTGTTAAAAGAAAACCAAATTATGAAATAGGCTGGTTTCATGATTGACCAATGATCATTTCACATAGACTCTATGCCTTCCACTTTACAAACGATGATTTTCCGTTATAACTATAAATCAAATGATGTTTTTATTCACCTAATTCATTATAAAGTTTATTTAACAGTTTAAAAAATTCGAAATTGAAATGGATAGTCTAGGGAACATACTGTATTAATGTACTCTACTGCATATACTTTGTGAACATTTACATGATTTGTACACTTTGAACTCCCTTTCAGGCTGAAAGGGACTGAAAAAATTCATACCGAGAGATTCTTTTAATTCCTCTCTATATATTCTATTCTCTATGGTGTCAGTTCTCTCCCTCCTATCTCCCCCCCCCCCATTCATTCTCAAATATTCAAATTTAAGTAGTCATTGCATCGTAATTTTTATTCAATTTCAAGATAAGAAAATAATATGATGAAAAGGAGGAATTAAAAAATTATTTCAACAAAAAATTTAAATTTTAGTACTGATACAGATGTTCAGAAATGAAAATTTATAGTTTTAAGTTTCAGAAAAAATGCCTTTTTATGATTAGATTTATATTTAAACGATAATTACTTTTAAAGAATTTAAAAATTATTTTGGATTTTTTTCTTTAAAAAACTAATAATGACATTTTTAAACTTGAGTTGTAAGGCTTCACCTTAGTATTTGTTTTCTCTTGACTCTGTGTGAAAGTGAATACAATGTTTAAAGAAAGATAAAAAGTTTAAATAAAGGGAATGTTCAGTGTTTGCAATTATCTTGATAAAAAAATTTGAAAAATTAGATTTATCAAAAGGTTAAAGGGCAATAATAAATTAATTGAATTTTTGTAAGGGACTTGACATGACTCCAGGTTTAGTCAAATTAACAAAATATTTAAATGGAAAAACATTAAAAAAAAGGTATCTGATCATGCTATTCCCGGGAAGTAGGAAATTAAAAAGTCAGAAGCACAGAGGATTTTAATTGGTGGCGTCAGGGGGAACGTATTGGGAGACTTTTAAATATTCATCTTAAATTCCAAAACTTGACTCAATACTACTTGTGAACGATCCCTTCTTTATGAGTAAATGTGAAATTAAACTTGTGATAAAAGTGAAAATTCAGGATCTTCACAATTTTAGTGAAAATATGGACGAAAGACGATGTTTAGCTGTTCTACATGAATGGGTCAGTCTTTTCTTTTGGTTGGTTTGGGGTTGGTGGCTGGAAGAAAACCAAGAAAACTTAATGTAAGTGAGAAAAAGATCTTTTGTATTTTGACAATCAAAGATTGTTGTATTTGTAATTATGTTCCATTGCACACAGATCCAGACAGTTATGAAAATTATGAATCTATTTGCAAGACCGCGCGGATTTTAAAGTTTTGCAACGTCTTGAACTGTGGCTTAATTTTTTATCTTAAAATTAATAGCGTTAATCTTGAGCACTATCTGCAGTTCGAAAGGAATTGGCAACCTCCTGGCACATTTTTTGCCAATTTATAGATAATAGAGTTTTTAAACTTTTATACCAACTTATCATAACAAATATTGTTCGTTTTATATATATATATATATACTGAATACACTTGATACATATCAAGTAATTTCAACTTCTAATCTGTGAACATCTTCTCTTTTGTATATATTATAAAACAATAACAAAAAAGTTTTTTTTCATGAATAAAAAAAATTTATGAAAATAGAATTTTTTTGGGTGTAATTTTTTTTTATTCTGATCATCCAAAACCCTTTCAAGCGAGGTCCCACACAAAATTTGGGCCCGATTGGTTCAGCCGTTTTGACGTTTATTGGATACAAACAAACACAAAGACAAGCAAAGTATGTAAAATATGTGAACGATAGAAAATATTTAAAGCATAATTAAGAAGATTGAAATTAGGAATAATTGGTTCTTAAATCCCCAAAAAATATTCCTTAAGTATTTTTGAGTTTTAAAAGTTTAAAAGTTTAAAAGTTTAAAAGTTTTCTCCGCATAGATATTTTCTGGAAATCAACGCAACCTAAACCTGTAATGCGCAGCCGTAGTACATTTGAATTTCCGAGCCGGGTCAACTTTCCGGTCCCGGTTTGTACTGTATCGCCTTGACATTGGGTAAATAAAGCAGACACTTAATAAGACTATAGCCAGTGCAACAAGGTTGACGCGGTCAGACTTAGGTTGAATTTACTTTTACTACAGGGTGAGAGGTGCGTGAAACACTAATTGATTAAAATTAAATAAAACGTCGAAGTTAACTGTAGAAGACTGTCATTTTTTTGCAGATAAATGAAGAAAGGAAAAAAGAAAAAATCTTTATGAATGAATGAAGAAATCATATTATATATATTTTAATTTAATAATTTAATATTAATATTTTAATTACTTGTTAGAAAATAAGGTTGGTATTTAATTAAATTGGAGTGTTGAGCTACACTTAAAACTAAATTAACATTAAATCTAATATGCTTATAACCATGACATCGTTTGTTATAAAGCAAAAATCAAAAATGTTTCTAATTTTTAATTTACAACCAGATAATTTAGCTGTTTTCGTGCGTAAAATTAAAACTAGAGGATAACCGAGGTATCAAAGTCCTACCAGTAATGTCTAGTTTGCAGTTATTAAAAAAGATCATAAACTTCGAAACATATAATTACGTTATACGTTACGAATGCAATGTTTAATTAAAAGAATAAATCGATGAAAATAAGTTAGCGCGCAATATATTGCAAATAATGTTAAAGCAGGTGCGCTGTTAAGATAAAACACGCGTAGAAGGTTTAGTAGAGGACAGGAAATGAAACTGTGAACTAGAAAATATATTATAACATTATCTATGTATATAGACATATATATTATTGATATAAAAATTTATTTATATATATCATAAGCTTCCTTCACACGTTTATGTTCTCCACAATCCAATCTGATTTTCCAATGATTGTATTTTATGAAGTAGGCATTGTACCTACTACTTCCTTGCATTTTTCTAATTCCTACATGCATGTTAGTTAGATCAAAGAGACTGATTAATTTTCTTTTTCCTGAATTTTCTGTTATTTGATATTTAAACAACAATTTCTGTTAGAATAAAAGTATCAGAGTTCAAAGATATAAAATGGATAAAATTAGAATTTTTGAGATAAATCAGTTTGTTTACAGTGAAAATACAAGTGAAAAATGACTTGGTTGAAAGTGTGAATGTTTGCTAACGAAGATAAGTCTGTAGGTAACGAAGGTATGCTAAATATGGTATTGTTGATGTTTCAGAAAAGTTTGAAAATTCTCCATCTTTTCATCTTTTTTTTCACCAATTCTTCAAACTTTTCTGAAAACTTTCTTCCCCAGTTTCTCTTTTGTTTTATCTCGGAGAAATAAGACCAGTCCCGCGGCTCTATCTATTAAATTTGAGGCAAATCGGTTCAGGGCCGGGTTTGAGTCTTGATCGGACAATTAAACAGAAAAACAGAAATTACTACTTCACATTTTCAAATATAAAAATACTATTCACCATACTGTACAAGTTATATAATTTACCAGATGATACTCAACGTACACCGTGTCCGTACACTGGGTTACCTAGTCGGGCTGGTACGAGTAAATGTGTATGCGGCACGATTACACTAGACTGGTTTGGACCCATGTGTGCGTACACGTACATATGATTTTACGCACTATGAGAAATGCAAATATATTTGGTTACATATTAAGAATTCAAAACATTTAAGTTCTTCTCAAAAGCTCTTCAATAAGATTTTATTTTACTTGCCATTTACATTTGAGGTGAACATACATTCCATTGTTAATCACCATACTATACAATGTAAAATGTACATCATTCACCATATATTGTACATGTGTTTATGTACGGGGAAATTGAATAAGCATTGTTAAATGTGCAGACAGTGCACCCTTTAAAATAGTCCGATCTCACTTTCTTTACTTGGTAACAAGACGCCTAGGGGTTTCCGGCCGCTCCAGGGGTTTCCGTAATATTTAGGGAAATCTATAAATAATATAAGTTTAGAATTTACTCTCTCTCTCTTCTTTCTCTCTCTTTCTCTCTCTTTCTCTCTCTTTCTCTCTCTTTCTCTCTCTTTCTCTCTCTTTCTCTCTCTTTCTCTCTTTCTCTCTTTCTCTCTTTCTCTCTTTCTAAATCTCGACATTTTTGCTTTGTTCACAGCAAACTAGATAGATGGGTAAGGTAGTATTTATTTGATATTACTGGTACGACATTGTGACCTCTTAGCTTCTCTAGCTTTGATTTTACGTACACGTATGATGAAATTTAAATATCTTTTCATCCTCTCGATAGTTTTTTTAACAAGAGGAGCTAGTTACCATTAACCGTATAAAGGCTGGGGGGTCTGAATCTGGGTATAGCCTAGGGGGGGGGGGGGCTTAGAAAAAGGACTTAGAAAATGGTTTTAAAATTGACCGTGTCTTTATTTATAATAAAAGACACGCTTGAAAGATTATAGTAATGACGACATTTTTAGAAATACTGTGGGTCGTCGCTTCTCGTCATATTGCACGAAAAGCGACGACCCACAGTAATGACGACAAAAATATTTCGATCTTACATGCAATATACTTTAGTTTCACGTCTCTTTCACGTACATTATATTAGATCTTTTAAAGCGCTTAATGAAGATTTACGGGACTAATCAGAAAATTTAAAAAGAATGAATCATTTTTTAAAAAGGCAGAAGCCTATTTTACTAAATGTCTTGCATTATAAAATACAAGGTTTTTCGAGTATTATGTGCGAATTTAAGCTTGGAGATTAATCCAATATGATCTGTATATGGGACGCTCTGTATCTGAAAACATGTAAGATTTTAAACTTTAGTTTAAAATGTATAATGTTCTACTTCCTAATAATCTTATGTATATCCTAAAGCATAAAAATGTGTTTGATTTAAACAGGATATTTAGTAATACTTAGAATAAAGGATATTTTATGATTTAAAGCTAAATTTCAAGCTTGAATGGTTTAAACCTTAATTGACAAGTTTTATAAATCCAAGATTTCTAATTTTGTTTCAACAGACACACATGTAAATTAGATATGAAACAGAATTTAAACATATTATTAATTTATATTTTAAATCAATTTTGAATATTATACGTTTCAATTCTATTCTACTCTGTAAACATTTTTTCTCTATTAGCAGTGTGTATCTGTTAAATTTAGAAAACGCCCTTGATTGCATTTGCGGAAAATTTTGTTGACATCAGATAACATTTATACACAGCACAGTGTGCTCAAATAAAATATTCAGTTCTAAAAATGTATCAATTACAATGGGACTTGAATATATTCAATAATTTTAAGGAACTGAGTTCTTTCAACTATGTCAAATTTGGTAATCTTTGTAACCTGAGTTTATAAACCGTGATACTTCAAACTTTGGCAATTTGATCTAGCAGATTTAATTTTTTGAAACATTAAATGTCTAAGATATCGGGTTGCAAAAATATAAGGATTAAAATATCAGAATTGTAAGAAGAAGTTCGTAGAACACACTTGTGACGTATCAAAAGAAAAATACTTTAGATATTTTCTGAGCTTTAACAATGGATTTTTTGGACATCCTGCACTCTGTTCACAGTATACTGTTCAGTTTTGTTCATAAAATTGTTCCGCAAACAATGAAAATAAATTGGATTTATTTCAAACAATTAATACTAAAATCATCCTCCTGCACTGCACCATTCATTCAACTATAGGTCAATTGGATCAATTCGTTCCAGAGATTTAGTTTGATCAATTGGATCAATTCATTCTATAGATGCAGGTTGATCATTTCGATCAATTCATTCCATAGATTTAGTTTGATCAATTGAATCAAGTATTCTAGTTCATGTACTATAATTATCCGTTTGTTAAGTTTTAAGTTTTTTTAAAGGGTGTCGATATCGCCTGGAAAAACAGCTTTAACATTGAAAATGTCTTTTTTTGTAAAAAGTGCGATCAAATTATGCTAGAACCTTTTCATATTTTCTTATTAATGTATATATATAAATATATATAAATATATATTAAATCTTAATCCTTGTGTGTTAAAACCTCTCTCAAAATACAAGTTTTTACGACACTCAATGTAATTAAAAACCTAAAGTATATATAACATTTTTTAATTGATTCACTCATTTTTATTTCTTCTCTTTTATTCATGAAATCCATTCATAAATTGGATTAAAATACGAATTTTTATTAATTGTTAACCCAGACCAAAGTTAATATATTGAGCTAGAACAAAAAATATTAATTTTGCTATGAGTAATATGTCTGTTATATAACGGGGGTATCCTGGTATATAGTGTATACAGGTGTCCAGTTACAGCTCTACAGTCTACACCACCTGTAGGAGATACAGCTTCAGTAGCAAGGTCAGACCAGAATATATTCATCCGTTATTCAAACAGTTCATCCCGGGATATTTAACCAGTTCATCCTGGGACATTCTAGTGATTTAGTGACCGTCTTGTAACTTTTTAGAACTTTTTTTTATTTTTCCATTTTTGTTCAGGACTTTCAGAAAGTGAACTAAAATTTGATTTGAGAATCTCAAAAAATTTCACAGATTTTTAACAACATTACTGTCTTATAAGTGCATTTTATTGAAGTGTTTTATATCTAAAAAATGTTGCGCTCTCTTCGGCCTACGCGAAGTGAATGCCCCGTAAGGTTTGAATCGGAGAAAGATAAGGAAAGGAATATGATTAGTCATTACATCAATCATTCAATCAATCAATCAATGAATCAATTAAAAATGAGACTTTTTAATTTGACAAATTGCTGGAAAATATGCACAGTTTTGTTTACTTTATATGTACAAAATGTAGAATAGATATGCTTTTATGAAAATTTTACTTTACTTATAAAAAAGCTTTTCCCGTCTGAAAGGGATTAAAAGGCAAAAATACTTTTTTTGAATAAACTTTGTTTGCCTTAGTCCAATTTAGATTATATTTGAAGTTTTGATAAAAAAGATAAATAAACAACTTTTTTAACTTACGCCATTTTATGCGTTGTATCACATTTTTAAGTGCATACAATTTTCAAACAATATTTTTAAAAACTTAAAGAATTTTTGTTTGGAAATCTTTCCTAACTTTTAGGAGCGAATCTTATCGATTTCTCAGCTAATGAAACCAAATGGTTCGAACGAGTTTTCTCACAAAAGAAGTTTCTCGATAAAAAAGTTGTCAAAACTGATAAAGCATGAGAAGGATGAACCTGAGCCTGGGAAACTCAAGATAAAGAAGAGTATTAAAGATCGTGCTCTCAAGAAGCTGGATAAAAGTGTGAATATGTTCAGTATTAAACAGAAGCAGGAGACAAGGAACCCTAGACCTTTAAACAGGAAAACATTTTTATTTGCTAAAAATTCATTCTAAAGCTTGACTGAAGGCGTAATTTCAAGTGAACCTCCATTTCCGATTAACAACAGTTTGACTAATTAAGGATGTCAGATATATCCCTGTTAATTTACCCTAATCGCTTTTAATTGTTGAACAATGAATACTTTACATTAATACATACTTTCTTTTAGTGGTCCTGTATTTCAAAAGATAATCGCCCTATTTATTTTGATTTTAATTTTTGCTGCACAAATCTGCAACAAAATAATAAGGATATCTCCATCATTTGAAAGGATGCGTTTAAATTAACTGACGCCTAGATACAGTAATTTTTTCATAAATTGTGGAGAACTGTTTATTCTTATGTTTTCATAAAAGCAACAACTTTTTTAAAAAAGCATGTTTATAATTTTTTCCGAAAAAGTAAAATGTTTCAGGCATTTAACCCTGCCCTCCCCACACAGACCTAGCAAGTCTTCTATCTGGGAAACCCAAAAGAAAGAATTAAGAAAAACAAATTCAAATCTATACTCAGATCTAGACCGATCTTCTAGTGCTGATTCAGGAATGATAAAAAATAAACAAAGATGATTTTTAAGAAAAACTTTTCAATCCTAGAAATGTAAAAAAAAGTCATCGAAAACAAATTGGAGGGATCGCTAAACTACCTACCACCGGTTCAAATCCTGAATCACTGATTCACTCTCCATTTTTTTACCTAAATCCTAGTGACTCTTTAACTTTGAATCGGGGATTCAGGATTTGAACCGGAGGTAAGTAATATATCAACGACTTCTCGCAGTTTATTAGATCCGGTGCTGCAGTAAAACATGGCATTTGGTTCGTTTTAAAATATATTTTTTAAATATATTGTTTCAAAAGTTCAAAAAAGTTAGAAAAATAAGTTTTTTTCTCAGTGCTTAACACATAACTCAGGAATTCTCAATTATGAGATTTGGATAACCGAAAAAATATCCCGCGCTGGTTTTATTTGGCACATTGCTCAAGATTTCAAAATTTTCAAAAAGAGAGAATTCCAAAATAACGTTTAACCAAAGAGAATAGAATATATTAAAGAGGGGAATTTACTAGAAAAAAGTGCAAAACGGCCATTTTGTTGTGCTGTTTCCAAACTGCAGGTGTACTTCACATATTTTTGCTATATAACCTTTTGGGCCCTGGAACATCATTTTATAGAAAAGCTAAGATTAATATTAAAAGAAAACCAAATTATGAAATAGGCTGGTTTCTAAATTGACCAATGATCATTTCACATAGACTCTTTGCCTTTCACTTTACAAACGACGATTTTCCGTTATATCTATAAATCAAATGATGTTTTTTTTATTCACCTAATTCATTTTATAAAGTTATTTAACAGCTTTAAAAAATTCGAAATTGAAATGGATAGTCTAGGGAACATACTGTATTAATGTACTCTACTGCATATAATTTGTGAACATTTACATGATTTGTTCACTTTGAACTCCCTTTCAGGCTGAAAGGGACTGACAAAATTCATACCGAGAGATTGGCTAAATTCCATTCTAATATATAGTCTTTTCTCTTTGCGTTTAACATTCAACAAAACTATCTCTGTCCAATGATTGTCACTTTTTGCCTTTTTTCACTGTTTTGGAAAGAAAGGGAAAACATGAAGATGCTATTTTTTAAGATAATCTACAATTTTAATAATAAATCATAGTTCAAAGAAGTAAAAATTAAGTTTTTTTCTAATTCTAATTTTTTCAATCAACTTTTAATATCTTATCTGAATTAATTTTTGTGGAAACAAATTTAATTTGATTGATATTTATAAACCAGGGAGTAAAGCTTATTTGGGGACTGAACAAAAAATTTAGTTTTCTAATGTTAAATTTCTACTTTTTAATCTGAAATGAGTTAAATCCATTATCAGGTTAAATATTTTAACTAATTTTACGACATTTCTTGAATTTTCTTCCCATTAATATGAGCTTAATGATTATTACCGTTTTAATCATTTTACCATTTTAAAGCTTATTGAGATTGGAAAAAACCTAAGTAATGCTGTTTTGAGATAATTTAATATTGTACTAATAAAATAAGGAAAGAAAATAAGAAAAAATTTATAATTAATCTTTTAAAAATTCTTAAATTTTAGATTAATTTTTTTATAATCGAGTTTTATCTATTTCTATCCTGGATAGTATTACAATTTCTAAATTGAAATTGTTAATTTTCCTCATTTACTATTTTTTTGTGGAATGTTAAAACATTTTTTTTTAATTTACTATTTTTTGTGGATTTTTAAAACTTTTTTTATGCTGAAGGAGTTGCATCCCCAACTAGTCCTCTCACTCCTATAGTAGATAATTCACGAGGAAATTACTTCAATACTTGAAAGTTCTAGATATATATAGTGGTCGGCGATTATATCAATAGAATGAAGACGACTTTTCTAATTAATTTTGTTCTCAAACTACGAGTTTACAAGAAAACAGAAAATGTTGATTGACATCTAATATTTGTTTCCATGTTTATGTGTATATCCATGTTAAAAACCTTGGTATAAATCAAATTGAAATGAAAAGTCGTCTTCATTGTATACGACAATGACTGTTAAAAAGGAACTGAGACCTTGCCACACACCCCCGTTTTATACTTTATATATCTTTTCAACCAGATGGTGTTCATCTCCGATATTTCAATAATCATTTAATCTGACAGACTTCATAGTTTTAAATATCAATGGTCGACAATACATATAGTTGAAAGATGTAGGGATTAAAAAATCTTATATTACCTGTTACACTTTTAATTTTTGTTTAATCTACTATACCTTATGATTCTGCAGGCTAAAATAAAAATAAAAGTACAAACATAAATATTATAAACCGATATTTCAACAAAGAACCATTTCATATAAAGTGTGTAGTGTCCCTTTAAAGTCTCTGACGTCTTTATTATTGGAAAATACAGAAAAATTGGAAAATATCAAACAAGAATTTTAGATTAACATTCATGATTTCGAATTAAAATACATCATAGAGAAATAGAGAAACCAGGAAAAGCATCGACAATATATTCTAATAACATATAATTTTTTAAAAAATCTTTTATTTTTAAAAAATTCTAACGATAAAAATGTCTAACATATAAAAATTATCTTCTGCATAACGGTAATTTAAATTATGAAATAATGAATAGCATTTGTAATTATTTTTCTACGTTATTTTAAACAGATTTTCTCTAGATAACAATTGTATTACTTAACTGCTTATAATTACAAAGGAATGTTTTAAACATATGATTACGGATTTATTAGCTTTATATTTTCATCAAGATTTACGTCACAACACAGCTAAAAATCAATTTACAAAATTAAAAACCTTTAAAAAACATTTCTTAAAATTTTTATCATTCTTAAACCTTCCCTGTGGTCACGTAATGTCCCACAAAAAAATTGGGCCCTATCGTTTCAGCCGTTTTGACGTTTATTGGATACAAACAAACAAACAGACAGACAAACGCCCAGACAAGCCAAATTCATATTTAGATAGATATTGTTATAATTTTGACAACAACAAAAGATCTTTTGGATCTAAAATTTTGATTATTGTTTTTTTATTTCTATATATGCAGAAAAGAGTCATGAGATCGCTTTGTATTCTATAATGTTGACATTGAAACTCAGAATACAGTGAATTTCTTGCATTTTAAAGTTATTAATTTCGCTCAGGTAATTTGTCACAACTTTCAATTTAAGAGACTGTAAGCGTAATTTCAAGTGACCCTCCATGCAAAAATTGTATTGTCCGAATGAAGCTATTTAAACACATGACAACTTGTATTCCACAGCTTATTGGATACTAGCCGGTGCCCTGCGTTTCCCGTGGTAAAAATTTGAAAAAAAAATTTTGAAAAAAATGTTTCAATTTGTTCAGCCTATAACACCCCCCGGCCACCCATGAGTGTCCACAAAAATGTTAGCTCAATCGGTCCAGCCGTTAGGCCGGCATTCGCAACATATATGAATGTCTTGTTTTATTATAAAGAAGAAGATATATTCAGAAAAAAAATCGATTAAATTGCTGCAGTCTTTAAATCAGCATTTTGAATTCTTTTTTTCTGTACTTAGCTTGTATTATTTAGATCACAAAAATATTTAATCAATTAATTGGGGAGTATTAAGTTTCTACTAAATTAATAAAGAAAAATCAAGATCTCCATCAAAGAAATGTTCAAGAGGTTGAAATTCTACGTGAAATTTCTTTTACTTCATTAAAATCACAAGATATTTAGATATTCCTCTATGATTAAATTATAAATGAATGAATGAAGCGGCACTTCGGGACCATTTTCTATATTTTCTATTTATGTGGAAATGAGCTTTCTGTAAATTAATCTAATTCCAATCTGTTTTTATTATTGAATAAATTTCCATGAAAACATCCTGTATAATAAATAAAACCATTATTACTTACAACTAAATTATTCCCTCATCTTTATAATCAAATCATATTTTCAATCAGAGAACCCATTGTGTCCTGTTTGAAGTAATATTGAAAAAATATGAAGAAAAAATATTTTACCGCCTTTTGATCAACATTACCGACCTATGATTGCCCCCAACAGAGGGAGGTTAAGTTACTTAACGTCCCTTGGGATAGTTATGTAAAATAACCACCCGTTCTTGAAGTTTTCGGGAAAAAATTTGCTCATTTTCATCTCAAAAGACGATAAAATTGTGACAACTACTTTTTCGGAAAATTACAAATTTTACCTAACCACGGGTTCCCTCGACCAATTTTGTCTACAAAACATCCCTGTAAAAAGTTGAAAATAATTATAATACCAAAGATATAATTCTTATCCTTAATAAATAAATTCAAAAATATTAGTTTTTAAGGCTTATAAATAATTTTTTATTCTATTATGTTGTTTGGTTTGGGTCCAATAAACGTTAAAACGGCTGAACCGATTAGGTCCTTATTCTTCCGTATCTCATATGTATGTAATATGATAGCAAATTTCATAAATTGGAGAGGTCGCTGAACTGCATACCACCGGTTAAAATTCTAAATCACTGATTCAAATCTTCATGAATCTTTAACTTTGCATCGGTGAAAAGATACGATAGGACCCAATTAAAAATGGGGGGGAAATTGTCAAGATTTATTTTAAGAAAAAAAACGCTTTTTTGTAATAAATGAGTAAATTCTTACGAATTTAGTTTTAAAGTAAAGAAAAATGGCTTATTGGGTTATGGGGGGGGGGGTGGAAAAAATCTGTTTTATTTATTATCTAATTTCTACGTAATAATACGCAATTAGAATCTGAAAACATTATTGAAGTGATTTAAAGGAGTTCATCTGTACAAATCCAACCAATTAAATTTAACCCTACCAAGATTACAACCAAGAAACAGAAGAATAAATGAAGACCAGGGTTGGGAGGAGAAAAAATCAACAATAAGAGAAAGAACAGGAGAGGATCTTAAACAGAATTTACCAGGAACCTTGAAATGTATTACTTTATTCATAAGCAGATCAGAAATTCACGAACAGCAAGCTGTTAATAACGATCTTGCGGATTTCATAACAGAGTTTCGTGGATTTTCAACCGCTACAACTTGATCATTAACCCTAAACAGGCTGTGGGGGAGGCGTTTGGCGTCCCCCCTGTAGTTTTTTTTTGTCCTAGCACTCTTATTTTTGACAATATCACCGTAAAGTTTTGTGACTTTAAATGAATAGTAATTTAAAGGATTTTTTATTAAAAAAGTATTTTTTTTTAATTTATAGGGTAGGGTACAGAGTGGAAAAAAATCCGGTCTAGGAAAAGAATCTAAAATAGCCCATAACCTTTTTCTGGCTAAAGCTACAGATCTAAACACTATAGTTTAGAAAAGCCCTTGAAAAATGCATGTAGAAAAATGTGTCACACTTAATTGATATTTGTTTAAAACAAAACGAAATTTGAAACTTTGAACGAAACTTTGAGCTGGCCTTGAAAAATTGCATTTCAACTCTATAACTATTCTCTATGACCTTTTTCTAGAGGGGGGCGCCGAACGCCCCCCTCCCAGGCTATACATAGATTCAGACCCCCAGCCTTTTATAGGGTTAAAGACAGGATGGAAACACTTCCTTGGAACTTGTTTTTCCTTTAAAAAAATGAAACCCTGCGTATAAATTTCGAGGTGGTTTATTTTTCATGTTGAATACTCCTCTAATAATTTTTTGCTGGAAAAAATAAATCAATATTTCTAATTTCTTTTCTTTATGTACTATAACTGTTTGTCTCCTATGAACGCACAATGTATCTACGCTAAAAACGAGTGGAAAATACATTTTAATGAACGATAAAAATCCACAAAATTAAAATATTCGGTAATGAATAATAAGAAAAATTTCAAAATAGGTATCCCAAAATTTTTGCAGGTAGGGTTTCATTTATCCAAAACGAAGTTCCATTATCTTATCTGTCGAATGTTTTCATGTTTTCACGGAAAAAAAGGTCTTTAAAATCGTGTTAAATTGCTGTTGTGTTCTTTCCTTGATTTTTCGTTAATACTTAAATTAGAATACAAAAAAGGGAGAACGCGCCCGAAGTCTGTCAAGGATCTAAGACGTAAATCACATGTGGAGAGCAGATTAGAAGGAAGAAAGCTATCAGACAATTTCAAACTATTAGATCATGTTGAAGAATTGTGTAAACAAGCAGACATCAACATCGATAGAAGGCTGAAAAATAGAATCAGGAACAACATTGATGACATAAAAAGATATTAAAAGAATTACATGTATGATTTACTTACAGAAAAGTAAGAATATATGAAGTTTAATTCCTCGAGGGATTCAATCATAAAACTGAGGGCGTATAATCTTCTTCCTCTCAAACACTTTTACAAAGCAATTACAGTAAAATCAAAGAATTAGGCTTTTAAACATTTTAAACTTTTTTCAAATGATTTAAAAAAGAATTAAAGTTTAAACCCCGACGGTTTCAATTATTAAAGAAATTACAGTAAAATCAAAGTACTTCTTTTCAAACATTTTTAAAACTTTTTAAAAATTATTTACAAATTTTTTATTGAACTTTTATCGTTTTGTTGTTTAGAAAGATATCAGAAAACTCATTAAATTTGGTAACCCTGGATGTGAATCAAACAGGCGCGCATATTATTTATTACAAAAATATTTCACATCACGTTTAACTAAATTTATTTTGATTTTGTTTGGTTTCAAAACACATTTTTTTTATTCTAAAAATCTTTAAAAAAAAAAAAACTTTCCAATCAAAACATACAATCGATCAAGTTTTTTAATCTTAGTTGTAATATGACAGTTGGGGGGGAGTAAAAATGTCCTAAAATCGAACCAGTAATTCCAAATAGAATTTACTTTTTCTTTTTGTTAAGATTGAAGTTTTCCGAAGTATATACTTTAAATATTTCACACATGTAATGAATATGATATAAAAATACTAATAGAGCACAAAGTCTCGAACCAGTAACCCAGCTTAAAGTTTACTGAAATCAAATATTGGAACACTACACAAAAAGGAAAATTTAAAGCATTAATAACTGTGAACTACGAAATGTTAACTCAAAGTTTGAAAGTAAACGCTCACTTGCGCGAATTAGTACATGGTTAGAATGGAAGTGTACTGCTGGGCGATGAATTAATGTGACATGTTTAAAAGTTGTTGTATAAAATGATAATGGCGGATTAGGACGGATTGAAGAGAACTCAAGTTGGAGAGCAATCAAGTTTTCTCTTCTTCTTAAATATCAGATTGAAAGGAAAATAAACTCAACTCGTCATATTATTTCTTCTCAAAAGGGCCTGTACACCATTTATTGGTAGGGATGGACACCATGGTAGGGATTGTACACCATCTAATGGTAGGGATTGTACACCATTTTTTGGTTGTACAAATGGATTGTACACCATTTATTGGTTGTATAAACGGACAGTACACCATTTATTGGTTGTACAAAGGGACTGAACTCCATTTATTGGTTGTAAAAAGGGAATTAATACCATTTAATGTTTGTAAAAAGGTACTGAATACCATTTTTTGGTTATCTAAGGGATTGTACACAATTCAATGGTTGTACAAAGGGACTAAATAACATTTATTGGTTGTAAAAAGGGACTAAATAACATTTATTGCTTGTAAAAAGGTACTGAATACCATTTTTTGGTTATCTAAGGGATTGTACACAATTCAATGGTTGTACAAAGGGACTAAATAACATTTATTGGTTGTGAAAAGGGCTGATTACCATTTGAAGGTTTTATATTAAAACTTTACACCATTTTTAAGAGAATATGCTGGACAGATTAGCATTTGTTGGTTCTATAATAAGACTTTACACCCTTTAAGAGAATATGATAGATTTAAAAGTAAAGGTGTAAAAGTTTGTCATTAAAAGTTCACCTTTTTAACTAGGTTGCGAAGATATAGATATAGTGATTAGATCTTTTGTATAAAAATTAAAATCTGACAAAGTTTACGGTTTTTGATGCAGCGACCTAGGGTAAAAAGATGATGATAAAGAAACATTTTATTTATTTACAAAAAAAAATGTAAAGACATCATTTTACATGTCATAACAATTATACTTGTTGAAACCAGAAGAAAATTTGAATTTTTCTGTACAATCCCTTGATCAGAAAAATAATATAAACTAGACGCTAATAAATCCTGATCAATAAACTTCCAACGAAAAATAAAGATTGATGGGAAAGCATCCAATTCCAAGATTAAAGGGACTGTAAGCGTAATTTCAAGTGGCCCTTTATACAAATATGACACTGCCTGATTCACAACGGTACCCTTATAACCTGTGTCTGATAAAGTATGAATACAATATGTATGCTTTTAATTTTGAAAACTAAATATCTTTCAATGTGATTTCTCTATTTATGTTACTTGCGTATTTCTCCTGCAGGATTACATATAGGAATGATCAGAACTAGAAATTCAAGGCGCTTCGCGCCCTTCTTTCTAGGCTTTTAGGGCGCTTCGCGCCCATTTTCTATTTTAATTGTGAACATGTTTTTTTTTGTTTACATTTTAAAACAAAGAAGAAAAAAATTTTGCGGATTTCCAAGAATTTTAATTTTTTTTACAAAATTAAAAACCTTTAAAACACATTTTTTTAATTTTTATCATTCATATACCTTCCCTGTGGTCACGTGATGTCCCACAAAAAATTTGGGCCCGATCGGTTCAGCCGTTTTGACGTTTATTGGTGCAAACAAACAAACAGACAGACAAGCCAAATTTATATATAGATTTAAGCATAGAAAGACGACAACATCTTCCACATTATTTTTCAAACAGATTTTTCAAGGGTATCGTCGTGAATCGGTATTGCAATCTTTCCATGGAGGGTCACATCAGTGAAAATATAATTTAAATATTAACAAACGAAAATTAAAGCCCCCTTACCCCTCCACACTTAAAGTGCAAGTTGAGTGTTATTATAGGATTCTGACTGAAATAAAACCAGTGTGTTTAAAAACTGGAACCACAAGTCTTATTTTTATCAGGAAAGAAGAAGATAATTAAATTATATATCTCATTATATTCATATTAATAGCACACATTTCAATATTCATGTAAATGGATAAAATGTCTACCCCCCTTCTCCAATTTTTAAAGATGAAAATAAATGGGTCTTTCTGGGTGTTTCGTAAAACACGAGCTAAAGAGTTATGAATATAAACAAAAAGAATATAAATCAATTCTTAAATACTGTATACTCCAATCCTTATCTCATTGGTCAAAATTTTAGAGATTGGATCATAAGGGCTTAAGAATTTAAAAACTCACACCTCAGGGCAACTTTCTATATTTTTTGTTTAACTTTTCAAGCTTCAGAAAAGTATTTTTTTTTAAGTTTTCCAAATAATTTTCTTCTAACCTGTAGATTTCATCATCCTTATATTGGTCCCATCAAGCTTGCTCTGATTCATGTTTGTTCTTGTATCAACAATGAAAACGAAGATTCAGGAAAACTAAAACCTGTTTAAAATTATCTGAGTTCGTTACTTTTTATTGTTAGGATTTAAACCCATTTTCTTCTTTTTTGGGCCGGAAAGATTTATTATTATTTATTCGACTTTTGACTGATTTTAGATCGGTTAAAAGAAGTACTTGACAGAATAATTTTTAAAGTGCTTTTTGAATTTTAATTAATTAAAAAGTTACTAAAAAATTACTATATAACCTTGGGTTTGATCAGGTTGTTTAACCTCCATTATACAACCTTGGGTTTGATCGCGTTTTTTAACCTCTACTATATAACCTTGGGTTTGATTAGGTTGTTTAACCTCTACTATATAACCTTGGGTTTGATCAGGTTGTTTAACCTCTACTATATAACCTTGGGTTTAATCAGGTTGTTTAACCTCTACTATATAACCTTGGGTTTAATGAGGTTGTTTAACCTCTACTACATAACCTTGGGGTTTGATCAGGTTGTTTAACCTCTACTACATAACCTTGGGTTTGATCAGGTTGTTTAACCTCTACTATATAACCTTCGGTTTGATCAGGTTGTTTAACCTCTACTATATAACCTTGGGTTTGATCAGGTTGTTTAACCTCTGCTATATAACCTTGGGTTTGATCAGGTTGTTTAACCACTATTATATAACCTTGGGTTTGATCAGGTTGTTTAACCTCTACTATATCACCTTGGGTTTAATCAGGTTGTTTAACCCCTACTATATAACCTTGGGTTTGATCAGGTTGTTTAACCTCTACTACATAACCTTGGGGTTTGATCAGGTTGTTTAACCTCTACTATATAACCTTGGGTTTGATCAGGTTGTTTAACCTCCATTATACAACCTTGGGTTTGATCAGGTTGTTTAACCTCTACTATATAACCTTGGGTTTGATCAGGTTGTTTAACCTCTACTATATAACCTTGGGTTTGATCAGGTTGTTTAACCTCTACTATATAACCTTGGGTTTGATCAGGTTGTTTAACCTCCATTATACAACCTTGGGTTTGATCGCGTTGTTTAACCTCTACTATATAACCTTGGGTTTGATCAGGTTGTTTTACCTCTACTATATAACCATGGGTTTGATCAGTTTGTTTAACCTCTACTATATAACTTGGGTTTGATCAGGTTGTTTAACCCCTACTATATAACCTTGGGTTTGATCAGGTTGTTTAACCTCTACTATATAACCTTGGGTTTGATCAGGCTGTTTAACCTCTACTATATAACCTTGGGTATGGTCTATAAAATATTAATATATAACTATTTTGGTCGGTATACAGAGGAGTATCCAGGTATCCCTGAACCTTCTCCAGTATCTTATCAAGGAGATTGTATCGACTATCTGTACCATCAACGTCTTCATGAAGCTAGAGAAGGACCTCCAGTTGTCCTTGACGAGTGTCTAGAAGGATACCTGGATCCAAAGGAACGAATGGGAATTCTCTGGTATCTCTACCTTGCTCAGTAAGCTATAGGGATCAAACCCGATCATCTGTTTTTGACCTACGAGGTGTCCCACATGGCTTCAATGGTTGCATGATCCAAACCACTATAATGATTTACCGGTCTAGTCTAATTGTACCGTGTATGCATTCTCTTGTACTGACCAGTCTAGACTACCTAGTGTAAAGTCGACCCAGCACATATTGTGCACAAACACATGTGGTCCCACAGCCAATCGGATTAAATATTTAGCTCGTGTATCACTCCTTAGATAAATAGATAGATGTGGTGCACCCTGTATTTAGATTTGTGTATGACTTCTTCTATTCTAACCATTTAAAATAATTTACTAAAATAGAATTTTTTAAATTACATCGCTAATGAAAAATGTGCTGAACAACGTTTTATACATAAATCTTTTTGATTTTTTTTTCTTGAAACGATATTGTAAATCATTATATATTTCCACGTTTTTTCGGAAATAAAAGTTAGATTATTAAAAATAACGATGCACAATTATTTCAGGTGTGTTCAACCCATGGAGGAATTTGATGAGCAAAACATAGGGTAAGAAAAATGAAGACAACATCTAAGCAATCATATTGTAATAGTGAACAACTCCTGTGTTGCTCATTGGACATTTTTAAAACTTAACTTTAAAATTTGTCTTCCTCAGTTTTATGGGTATCACTGTAAATCACTTATTTTAAGGAATTATCTCATTTTTCACAAAAAATATTTTATATTTATGTAAACAACCCAATTTTTGCGTCGTAAAAAGTAAAAATTTCAAATTTCATCAGGATATAAATAATTTTTTTCAGTTTAAAAAACTCAAAAAACTTTTTTAAAACCTGGTCCAATCTTAAATTTAACATTTTTTTAATTAATCTTACACGTGTCATGTCATGCTTATTGCTTATACTTTCCTTAAATATTGACAGAGACATCAGATATTAAACAATTTTTATCATAGAAATCATTTAAATAGAAATAAGAAAAACGTTCCCAAAAAGACTCCAGGGTCTTCGAACACTTTGTAGATTAAAAAGAGAAAATAAGAAAAAAAACTTTTAAAGAAATGTCTTCTTAATAAAAAAGATAAAAAAAAATAAATTTAAAATTTCGTGAAAGCTGAATTCAAGTAAGAATTTTACACTCAGCACTCTGCACTGTACACTTACAGGACTTATCGTGAAATGGAGGTTAGAAGACGAGAGGATGGAATAGGACGAACAAGAATAGAGACGACAGGGACAGGATGGAGACGACGAGAAATAGAAGAAAGTGGACGAGTTTGTCACAGATGTGGGAAACCGTTCTCAATCTTTAGTTCCAGGTTTGGATATTTTGAATACAATGATAATCAGAAAACTGTAGAATATGAAGACGACATTAAAACATTAATTAAGTATATTTGATGCTGTTACAAAGCAAACAGTTTTACAAATAACTTATTTAATCACTTATTTCAGGTTTTCATTGTATTAATAATAAAAATAAAATAAAAAATTTACAAATGTTTAAAAAGTTCAGACCTGATTAATCATTTTAGCTTGCTTCGTCAATAATATAATAATTTCCCTGTAAGATTATCCCGTTTAA